TTGAATTATTTGTCAAGTTGATAAAATGATCACTGCATTGTTTTGTTATTATTGTTGAATTATTTGTCAAGTTGATAAAATGATCACTGCATTGTTTTGTTATTATTGTTGAATTATTTGTCAAGTTGATAAAATGATCACTGCATTGTTTTGTTATTATTGTTGAATTATTTGTCAAGTTGATAAAATGATCACTGCATTGTTTTGTTATTATTGTTGAATTATTTGTCAAGTTGATAAAATGACCACTGCATTGTTTTGTTATTATTGTTGAATTATTTTTTTTCAAGGTGATAAAATGATCACTGCATTGTTTTGTTATTATTGTTGAATTATTTGTCAAGTTGATAAAATGACCACTGCATTGTTTTGTTATTATTGTTGAATTATTTGTCAAGGTGATAAAATGATCACTGCATTGTTTTGTTATTATTGTTGAATTATTTGTCAAGTTGATAAAATGACCACTGCATGGTTTTGTTATTATTGTTGAATTATTTGTCAAGTTGATAAAATGACCACTGCATTGTTTTGTTATTATTGTTGAATTATTTGTCAAGGTGATAAAATGATCACTGCATTGTTTTGTTATTATTGTCATACTTTTGGTCTTTTTGGTGAACTTGTTCGATATCACGTTAGTATCGGCAACATTTAGTCAAATGTTCGCTTTTGACTTTGTATGTTTCCTTGTACGTGTAAGTCATTGCTCAATTGAGTTACCAGCATTGGTATGCATCAGGTCAACTAGATCAGTATTTCCCAAAGTGGGGCTTAGAGAGCATTACATTGAATCCGTTAGGAAGCCCAGGTGCACATTTAGGGAATCCCAGGGCTATGTCAAACAGCCAGCAGAGAAATCTAGAGACACATTTGTTTACCTGGCTTACTGTGATGTCATATTAACTAAAAATAATTTTTTAGGGCAGGGGATAAAAGCTCATTTGTAAGTACACCATGGTGTTGGGGGTGTCCAAAAAAAAGGTATGGTTGACACTGAGGGGGAGGGGGGCTGTGTCTGTTGAATGACTGGCTTTTTTGTGTGTATATAATATATTGATCTTAAGAATCTGTGTTTATTTTATTTTGATACGTTATGATTTCAATGGAAAGTTTTGAGCTAAACATCAAACAAACACCTGCATTTTCCAACCTAATCCTTGCTCATCTATTAACATCATTGCTAAGGCGCTATGACATTAACAAAATAAAAATTCAAACAAATCACACACACACACTGCTATTCATCCACTGCATCCTGGTCTAGTTCCGTTCGTCTTGACTAAGTCTTGCCAATGGATCAAATAGGCAAGGATGAGAGAGTGAGGCTGACAAATTGAGCAACTCTCCCTCTCTTTCAACAAAATGCAGCTCAAGTCAAGGCTACTACTCTAGTTGAAAATTGGATTGAAAGATTCTGTGTGCATGGGACAGTGCTTCAGTGCAAGTGTGGATTGACAGTTTCCATGAATATGTTGCAGTGCTTCAACTCATGTCACGTCTCTGCTAATGTCTGTCCCCTGAAACTGGGGGTGCCATCCCTTGTTTCTCAGCTAAACACAGACCTTTTTAGTGGAAGGGGGCGACTAAAATCTTAGCCCACCCCGGGCGGCACTAACCCTAGCTACGCCATGGGTTGCATAGTGCCTTGATTTATAAAACATCTACAGCCAGCGAAGAAAAACTGACATCACTTTGTGACTTTCTCTCAGTTCATGATAAGAGTAGACTGACCTTCTCCTATTTCACTAAGTGAAGAGTCATCAAAATCATCAGAGTAATCGGAGTCATCATCACGTTCCGTGGGATCTGAGAATAAAGATAAATTAGGTTTTTTAAACCAGTGGCTCAAAAATAACACACAAGAAAACCAAAGACTTAAATAAACACCAATAACCACCTTAACCTGCATGTGTTCTTTTGGCAAGTCGACTAAGCCCCGATGTAACTTTAACAATTTGAGAACATCTCAAGAGCCACATGGGAAACCTTATGACCAAAAAAGAAGCTACGTAATGTACGTTATTTTAAATAGTTCATTGAACATTCATCCGTGCTGGTATTATAACTGTCACATACATTCATCCTTGCTGGTATTATAATTGTCACATGCATTCGTCCTTGCTGGTATTATAACTTTCACATACATTCATCCTTGCTGGTATTATAACTGTCACATACATTCATCCTTGCTGGTATTATAACTGTCACATGCATTCATCCTTGCTGGTACTATAACTGTCACATACATTCATCCCTGCTCGTATTATAACTGTCACATACATTCATCCCTGCTGGTATCATAACTGTCACATACATTCATCCGTGCTGGTATTATAACTGTCACATACATTCATCAGTGCTGGTGTCATAACTGTCACACACATTCATCCCTGCTCGTATTATAATTGTCACATACATTTATCCCTGCTGGTATTATAACTGTCACATACATTCATCCCTGCTGGTATTATAACTGTCACATACATTCATCCCTACTCATATTATAACGCATTCATCCGTGCTGGTATTATAACTGTCACTTACATTCATCCGTGCTGGTATCATAACTGTCACACACATTCATCCCTGCTCGTATTATAACTGTCACATACATTCATCTGTGCTGGTATTATAACTGTCACATACATTCATCGGTGCTGGTATCATAAGTGTCACATACATTCATCCTTGCTGGTATTATAACTGTCACATACATTCATCCTTGCTGGTATCATAACTGTCACACACATTCATCCTTGCTGGTATTATAACTGTCACATACATTCATCCCTGCTGGTATTATAACTGTCACATACATTCATCCTTGCTGTTATTATAACTGTCACATACATTCATCCCTGCTCGTATTATAACTGTCACATACATTCATCCCTGCTGGTGTCATAACTGTCACACACATTCATCCCTGCTCGTATTATAACTGTCACATACATTCATCCCTGCTGGTGTCATAACTGTCACACACATTCATCCCTGCTCGTATTATAACTGTCACATACATTCATCCGTGCTGGTATTATAACTGTCACATACTAATTGATCGGTGCTGGTATCATAACTGTCATATACATTCATCCTTGCTGGTATTATAACTGTCACATACATTCATCGGTGCTGGTATTATAACTGTCACATACTAATTGATCGGTGCTGGTATCATAACTGTCACATACATTCATCCGTGCTGGTATTATAACTGTCACATACATTCATCCTTGCTGGTATTGTAACTGTCACATATATTCATCCTTGCTGGTATTATAACTGTCACATACATTCATCCCTGCTTGTATTATAACTGTCACATACATTCATCCCTGCTGGTATTATAACTGTCACATACATTCATCCCTGCTCGTATTATAACTGTCACATACATTCATCCGTGCTGATACTATAACTGTCACATACATTCATCCGTGCTGATACTATAACTGTCACATACATTCATCCGTGCTGGTATTATAACTGTCACATACATTCATCCGTGCTGGTATTATAACTGTCACATACATTCATCCGTGCTGGTACTATAACTATCACATACATTCATCCGTGCTGGTATTATAACTGTCACATACATTCATCCGTGCTGGTATTATAACTGTCACATACATTCCTCCTTGCTGGTATTATGACTGTCACATTAAATCAGCCAATGATAAATGATGAATTAAGTTAGAATTTTATATCATCTGTTCCCTCACCGTTTATATGATTTATAGAACCAAGGTCGTTCACAGCATGTTTCTTTGGCTGCGGGGATGCACTCTGTAACTTCCTGTCATACTCGTAGGATAGCAAAACTGGGTCGGTCGATTTCTGTTTACGTGGACTGAATGGACTCTTTAAACTCACAGGAAATGGTTTCTCCATGTACGAACTGTGATGAACAAATCCAGTTTATTTCATAATTGACAGTTACATGTTATATATGAACATATTCACAACCTTACAAATAGTTGGTGACAATTCTGAGGCTGTGAGGAATATTTATTTTGTATCAATGATCAATGTAGCAGCCAATTCCATAAAAGCACTTTTTAATTAGGCATTTTAACACTAATGTTTGCTTTTACTGATTAGAGTAGAAAACGCCGCGGCCCCCTAAAGTGTAGCATGATGCCCAGGGCTAAGAAGATTTTGCTAAAGTAAATAAATGAGTGGACCATCTTGGTAGAAAACATGGTGTGGCCCAAAGTGGCCCAGGATTAAGTTCAACAGTTCAACAAGAGAGAAGAAAAAGGGAAATGTGGCCCAAAGTGAGAGAAGAAGGAAAGGTGGCCCAAAGGGAGAGAAGAAGGAAAGGTGGCCCAAAGGGAGAGAAGAAGGAAAGGTGGCCCAAAGGGAGAGAAGAAGGAAAGGTGGCCCAAAGGGAGAGAAGAAGGAAAGGTGGCCCAAAGGGAGAGAAGAAGGAAAGGTGGCCCAAAGGGAGAGAAGAAGGAAAGGTGGCCCAAAGGGAGAGAAGAAGGAAAGGTGGCCCAAAGGGAGAGAAGAAGGAAAGGTGGCCCAAAGGGAGAGAAGAAGGAAAGGTGGCCCAAAGTGAGAGAAGAAGGAAAGGTGGCCCAAAGGTAGAGAAGAAGGAAATGTGGCCCAATGGGAGAGAAGAAGAAGGAAAGAAAAATTTAACTTGAATGAAGTAACTGTTCACACCTTGGTGGCAATGGGGATAAAGAGTTATTGTCTCCCCCTGGCGTGACAAACGAGTTCTCTCTCTTTGATCTGAAGGCACGTATATTCTCAGTGTCGGCAATGAATGAGGCTAAATGCTGTTTGACATATGGAAGGTTCAGTATTGCACTTGCACTGTTGAATAAATGAAAGATTTGCTAAAGAGAAGGGGAAAATTGCAAGTCCTTACTTTACACATATAAATATCTACCCTGATTCATGATTAACTACATTTTAAATCTAAACATGCTAATTCATGACTACATTTTTATATCTACACACCCTACTTCAATATTTAAAACATTTTATTACTACACACCCTTCTTCTCACTACACACCCTACTTCATAATTAGCTACATTTTAAAAACTATAAAGTGCACGTCCCTGTTAACTACATAGCTTCACACAGCTTGCTTCATTAATTAATACATGTTATAACTAAACCTTACTTCATAATATACTACAGTTTAAAGGCTATACAATTTACATCACTAATACATTCTATAACTATAGACCCAACTTCACAATTTACTGCAGTTTAAAAACTATACAATTTACATCATTATTTAATATATTCTATAAATCTAGACCCTACGTCTTAATGAAGTTCAATTTTGTTGACATTGTACTCACCTAGGTCTATTTTCAGGAGCTTTTAACAAAATTTTACTGACGAGGTCTTGAATACCTGTAGGTGTCTCAGCTGGGAATGGCTGGAAGCAAGGAAACATATTGTTTACCCAGAGCATCAAGGAAACATATTGTTTACCCAGAGCATCAAGGAAACATATTGTTTACCCAGAGCATCAAGGAAACATTGTTTACCCAGAGCATCAAGGAAACATATTGTTGACCCAGAGCATCAAGGAAACATATTGTTGACCCAGAGCATCAAGGATTGTATAACAAATGGGTCTCGTAGTTCCTTTGTATAACAAGACCCAGAGCATCAAGGAAACATATTGTTTACCCAGAGCATCAAGGAAACATATTGTTTACCCAGAGCATCAAGGAAACATATTGTTTACCCAGAGCATCAAGGAAACATATTGTTTACCCAGAGCATCAAGGAAACATATTGTTTACCCAGAGCATCAAGGAAACATATTGTTTACCCAGAGCATCAAGGAAACATATTGTTTACCCAGAGCATCAAGGAAACATATTGTTTACCCAGAGCATCAAGGAAACATATTGTTTACCCAGAGCATCAAGGAAACATATTGTTTACCCAGAGCATCAAGGAAACATATTGTTTACCCAGAGCATCAAGGAAACATATTGTTTACCCAGAGCATCAAGGAAACATATTGTTGACCCAGAGCATCAAGGAAACATATTGTTTACCCAGAGCATCAAGGAAACATATTGTTTACCCAGAGCATCAAGGAAACATATTGTTTACCCAGAGCATCAAGGAAACATATTGTTGACCCAGAGCATCAAGGAAACATATTGTTTACCCAGAGCATCAAGGAAACATATTGTTTACCCAGAGCATCAAGGAAACATATTGTTGACCCAGAGCATCAAGGAAACATATTGTTGACCCAGAGCATAAGTAAATTAGTTTACTAAGAACAAATATGTACTAGTTTACTTAAAGATAAATATAGAATCAAGTACGGAGTTGCCAAGCCTGTGGCTCCCACTGATGAGGCTCACATTATGCTGACCAACAGTTTCCATAATTATTGTATCAAATGACAAATGTTTTACACAGATGTGCAACTTATTTTCAATAAAATTTAAATACTTTTTTTTATCCATTAAACAATGTCAATGAAAAGTCAGGTCTAGACATTATGATTATCTCTGATCTCGGAGAACAAGCCAAGAATTGAGTTTGAAGAAAAAGCCCAGAATTGAGTTTGAAGAAAAAGCCCAGAATTGAGTTTGAAGAAAAAGCCCAGAATTGAGTTTGAAGAAAAAGCCAAGAATTGAGTTTGAAGAAAAAGCCAAGAATTGAGTTTGAAGAAAAAGCCAAGAATTGAGTTTGAAGAAAAAGCCAAGAATTGAGTTTGAAGAAAAAGCCAAGAATTGAGTTTGAAGAAAAAGCCCAGAATTGAGTTTGAAGAAAAAGCCAAGAATTGAGTTTGAAGAAAAAGCCAAGAATTGAGTTGAGTTTGAAGAAAAAGCCCAGACTCTGTTGAAAATGCCTAAGTACACTGTAGAAGCAAACAGCTACTCTGACCACACAGAGGTTCATCAAACGCCTAGCTACAGAACAATTTTAAGGAACAATGAAAAACTCACCAAGACTTTCAAGACGGAAAACAATTTGTGCAATGCAATGAAAACAATTTGTGCAATGCAATGAAAACAATTTGTGCAATGCAATGAAAACAATTTGTGCAATGCAATGAAAACAATTTGTGCAATGCAATGAAAACAAATGTCCATTTCTTTGGATCAATAAAAGCATTTTATCCATTTCCAGCAATTGGTTTATACATTTTTCTTTGACAATTCTTTCTTTGTTTATCTTCACTTTGATTGACAAATACAAATACCAAAATTAAGTTAGAGCTTTTGATTTATCTCAAGTGTTCATGTATATATAGAATAATAATGTAATTTAGTACCATCATATTGACATCAGTCTAAAAATGGATTTTATGTTCAGTGGGCCCTGTAAAGATTTTCTTACCCTGTAACCAGCTTTAATGATGTTAACAAACAAGCTAATGAGACTCTGGCCATCAAATGGGGGACGTAATGCAGACATTTCATACAGGAGGCATCCTACAGCCTGGTAATATAAGTCAACAACTTTTACAATACAACACCATTACATTGCCAGCATAAACATCATTACATTGCCAGCATAAACATCATTACATTGCCAGCATCTATGACTTCTATTAGTTATATATGGTAATATTTTTAAAAACTTTTTTTTACTATTTAGTTAAGAATTAAGTAAATACAGGAAATGTTCAAGGAATGCAGTTAGTGTGACAATCATTTGTTAATATACTGCACGGTTGGCCTGAATTCTTTTATTGTTAGAACAATCTTAAAACAGACAGAAAGCAGAACAGAAAAGTCAACCTGGTACACTGGCATGCACACTATCTTAAAATACCCTCGACAAATTCAAAAATAAAATGTTCAAGACCAAATAATTTCAGAGACAGGTCTTTTTAACGTTGTCACATGTTTGAAATATCCCAAATCTAGATTTATGAGCTAGATGTCTAACATACCCAGATATCTGATTTTGAGTTATAGGGGATGTCCTGACACAGCTCTGGGCTCAGGTAGGATGGTGTTCCAACAACAGTTTTAGCCACATCAATTGTGTTGTCAAGAATTTTAGAAATACCAAAATCACCTGAAAGTATAGGATACAGGTAAAAGCAATGACCAGCCAGGTGGATAATATAGATGAAAGCAATGACCAGCAAGGTGGACAATATAGATGAAAGCAATGACCAGCCAGGTGGATAATATAGATGAAAGCAATGACCAGCCAGGTGGATAATATAGATGAAAGCAATGACCAGCCAGGTGGAAAATATAGATGAAAGCAATGACCAGCCAGATGGACCTGACCACTGAAATATAAAGTGAATTCAGTTAACATTAGGAACACAACAAATGAAAAACTAGGAATGGTAAAACCAATCATTGGAATACATATTCATTCATTTCCCAAGGAAATATGCAGTGTAAGAGAGAGAATGAGAGTGTTTTTATTTATATATATTTATTTTATATATATATTATATATATATATATATATATATATATGTTTCTACATGTATATATTGCTGGCATCTGTCCATCATAATGTGACGATGGTGTATACTTCGCAGGACGAAATCCACAAAGCCTGGGATTAAACATTAACATTATAAGCTGATCCATGCCGCTGGATAGCGCAAGGGAACATGTGGATGATGCAGAATGGCATCAGTGATGTTGTGGGAGTGTCGGAATTTTTCATTGTGCAAATGTTATCCGCCTGCGGGACGGTTTGAATTTAGAGTTTTCTTCTTTTAGATGAGTTGCCATCCAAGGATAATGAGTCCCATCCACCTGGGGTGCTTCCCATCGACCCGGGGTGCTGCTGCTGTTTTTGCTTGATTGGACTTTGAACTCCAGACCATGAATTTGAGATTGGATCAGTTTAGACCACTCGGCCACCAAGTTTATTATAAAAACATGCTTCATTCCCAAAAGCTCGAAGCGCTGTACAAAGTCAACCATATTAAAAAGAGAAATAAAAAACAATCTAAAATTTGCTACATTTAAAAAACAGACGCAACTATATAAATCAACATACCAGCATACTAAGTCAAAGTCTTTCATCCCATTTCAACCATAAGCAACACAACTCAAACTAAATTAACTGAAAAAAAGATGGTAGATAGCGTCACCCCAGAAGGTGTTTGCGAAATATATTTGTTTTTAAATCGGTTTTAAAGGGCTCCAGTGTCTGGCTGTTTCTGAGAGGACTGGAAGGGCATTCCAAATTGTTGGGCGGGCTAATATATATATATAAAATGTGTTTTGTTGGGTGCTGAGATGTTCAGTTAACATATTGATTACTTAAAAAATCTTAACAAGAGAATTAAATCTGTTGACACACTTACCCACTTTAATGACGTTTCTCTTGTTTAAAAAAACATTTTCAGTCTTAAGGTCTCTGAAGGAAAAGGTCAGAAATCGGAATGAACATCACAATGTATGTTGGCAATGGAATATATTTAAGCATTCTTTTAAGATTTATTCCCTGAATTGCTAAACACAGAACTCTATTTCATAATATATCAAACTATGTGAAGTAGCTTACCTATGAAAGATATGCTTAGAGTAGATATACTGTACAGCCACAACTATCTATATGAAGTAGCTTACCTGTGAAGGATATGCTTAGAGTGGATATACTGGACAGCCATAACTATCTGAATGAACCACTGCAATAATGGAACAAAATTTCATAAATTATACATTTTACATTTTAGGGTGTAGAAATTCTGGGGCAAAAAATTTGAATGTTTTAAAATCAATGGGGGACTTCATTACTGAAGACTTTGTCCTTGTCCTAATGACAATAATGAAAAGGACATTAAGAAAATGGATTGGTCCAGACAAGTGAAACCATGCATTAAAATATTGTTGAAAGAAAACAACACTTACAGGTTTCATTCTGAGCAATGACATATAAGTGAAAGAAACAGATTAGCTGCCTGGAGATTGACAAGAAATGTCAAGGGCTAAGGGAAACAATCCTACAACAAAACTGAAGTGAAAACCTTTGTAGTGGCTGGTGCTGAACGTAAACATTTTATGCACTATGGTTGTCCCGTAAGTTTTTTATTATTTCTACAAGTATTCCTGTGAAATCAAACAAGACAGCAAAAGAGGGGATCCTGTGAAATCAAACCAGACAACAAAAGGGGGGATCTTGTGAAATCAAACAAGACAGCAAAAGAGGGGATCCTGTGAAATCAAATGCGACAGCAAAAGAGGGGATCCTGTGAAATCAAACCAGACAACAAAAGAGGGGATCTTGTGAAATCAAACCAGACAGCAAAAGAGGGAATCCTGTGAAATCAAACCAGGCAGCAAAAGATGGGATTCTGTGAAATCAAACCAGACAGCAAAAGAGGGGATCCTGTGAAATCAAACTAGACAGCAAAAGAAGAAATCCGGTGAAATAAGAACACTATGGATTCCATCTAACTGACTACAGATTTTTTTCTTGTTTACACAAGGTCATATTTTAATTGCATTGGACAACAATTATTATAACTAAAGTTTAGATACTATTTATTTTATTCCTACCTGCATTATTTGTTTTTCTGAAAAGGACTGATCATTCTGGGGAAAAATAAGTTAGATTCAAAAGGAAGAAAACAAAATCTTAAATAAAAGTTGATCTAAATATATAAATTAAATGGTTTTTCAATCACTTTCTTTTTAAAAATAAAGATCAGCGATCCTGGACACCCTGTCTATGTGATAAGTTAGGAGATCCTGACTATGTGATAAGTTAGGAAAGCAGTTTAATAAATAATCTGAGTGTTGAAACAAAATATAAATAGTTTTCAAGAATAATAACTTTGTTCAACTAAATTCAAAAAGCTGATTAATTAACAAGGTTAAAAAAACAGACAATGTTTTTTTCTCTTAAAAGTGTGAAAAATGACTTTGTGGGCTATTTACCTGAGCTGCATCCTGAATTCTTTCTGATAGGTTTCCCCCATCACAGTAATCCTAAAATAACAACAAATGGATCAGAAGCTTTTGCTCTTTAGGAAAAAAAATATATAACAGAATAAATTTTCAATATTGATGAGTTGTTTTTCAAACATTTTTACAAATATTTTATGAACACCTGGTATTAAAGATTACAATTATTTACCAGAATCATACAAACATAATCTTCAGCTGGGTCAAAGAATGATTCATGGAACAAAATGATGTGAGGGTGTCGTAGCTGGGATAGTATGCTGTCAAAGATAAGTAACTTATAGTAAACAAATATAACCTAACATGAAAATAAATAATTTTTTTAAAGAACAATTTGTTAAAAATGACGATCTTTATGTTTGGAATAATAGAGATACTCCACACAGTTTTTTAAGACTTACGGGTACTATCTATAGCTGGCTATGGTAAAACACAAATGGTCAAAATCATAATTTTAATCGTGTACATACATTTCATAAATTTTTGAGAAAAAAATTAAACTTGAAATTGTTAGCTTCAAGAGAAAAAAAAGGATAATTGTTGTTTTTTAGGATGATAACAATTTTAGTTTAGTCCTCAACATTTACCTTGCTTCTTTCAGTACAGCTTCTTTAGTTCTTGTCTTTTTACGCTCATCAACTTCAATTTTTTTCATGGCTAATAATCTGTACATAACAATTTAAAAAAGTAAATTATTCAATTTTTCATTCTAAAAATTAAATAATTTCAAGGCTTATTGAGCCAGAACAGACATACATGAATATTTTAGTAATTCCATTAGACAGACAGACAAACCTAATCAAAACTAACAGTTCAGTCATTCCATTAGACAGAAAGACAACATTTCAACTGACTTTTTTGTGGTTGTTTGCTTCACAAGGTAGACAGCTCCATGTGCACCCACACCAAGCCTTTTCACAATCTCATATTTGTCCATAGTTATGGGTTGCTTTGAAGATATTTTAGACTTGTAGCTTTTATGGCATGGGAATCAACTGGACCAATGTAATCACTTGATCATCTGGCATACACTACACAAATATAAATAAAGACTATTATCAATTTACTGATAAGATTGACTCTTGTTATGTTGACATATATTCTTTAGTAGCGTGACAGAAATATAACAATTTTTGCATTAGAATTATTGGAGCCTGTAGATTGATCTAATAAAGGAATTCAATAATTGGTCTTCTTCACTATTGTTAAAAAATGATTCTTTTAATGTTGTGCTGATTAGAAAAAATTGCTATATTAACTTGTAACATTTTTTCCCCAGATTTTAAAAGGTCACCACCCTGTAAAAACATTACCTGGATTGTATCGAGAATGATAGTCCACTCCTCTCCTCAAATTGGCAAAATTTTGTCAATGATCCTATTATCCACAATGAAAAATTACTTCAACTTATAATAATTTATACAATATATGTGTCTTGATTTTGGATAAAATTGTACACCAGCATGGAATCAAACTACTTTACAGTAAATGCTGATTTTTTTTTTTTTGTGTGTAGGCCTATGCATATCCTCTAACTAAGCTCTCCCCACTTCATTACATGTAGGTAACTCTGATTTACAATTTACATTCTCCACTAGGAATCTTGGTTTTATATGTCTCTCAATAATCACATCTCTCACTTTGTCAATCTGCATACATCGCTATTCATCAGATAAGCTCCATCCGCCTATACCTTACGGTTAGAGCAACAAAAACCCTAGTCTGTGCTCTTGTTCTCTCTCACCTTGATTAGTGTAATTCTCTTCTATCAGATTCACCAAAACACTTCTTAGAAAAATTACAAAAAGTTCAAAACTCAGCCGCTAGGCTAATTCTAAAGGCAAGAACACGTGATTACATCACACCACTACTTCATTCTCTTCATTGGCTCCATATACAAACACGTATTGACTTAAAACTCTCTGTTCTCTGCCACAACTTTTTCTCATATTCCTTCCCTTCCTATCTAACCGAAATTTTCTATTTCTATTCACCCCTTCGACAGCTTCGCTCCTCCCCAGACACGCATATTCTTTCTGTCCTTAAGACTCGCACAAAAACATATGGTGAACGATCATTCTCTTTCTGTGCCCCCAAACAATGGAATTCTCTTCCATTACACATTATACCTTCAAAACTGCACTCAAAACACATCTCTTTAATCTCTACTATCCTGACTCATTCCCACCTCTGACAGAAAAACGATGGTACCGAGTGTCATCCATGACTTGAGATGTAAATAGTTTTAAATATACATTTGTTTTGTTTTATTTAATTAATGTATGTCAATTAATTTTTTAAGTTTCTTGATTATGTTTGTTAAATTGTATGTACAGCATGGTGAGCCTAGCCCTAGCCTGGGGTACCACGCTATATAAAACCACATATAATAATAATAATAATATCAGATCATGTCTACTTTGCTATTGCCTGCCAGTATTAAACATAATAATACCTTTTTTCATTCTGTCTCTCTATCTATTTTAACTTTAACTTAGCACTTAGACATATATTAATATTATTCAGAATATGGTCAATTTACACCATTCTCGCCACTTTGATTTTCATTCAATTCAAAATTCATACTAGTAAATACTACAACAAACTGTGCCCTCAAAGCCACAATTATTCATCGGGGCAAACTCGCCCACCCAGCCACTTCATTATTATTAATTATAGTAACATTTTTAATGATTTAATGATTTTAAATATAGAACTCTTACTCTTAGTTTTTTTTTTTAATAAAAACACTCAAAAAGAAGAAATTCAGAGAATGTTTGAGAGTAAGTCATAAGGATTCAGCCTTAGATACGAATACATAGTAGTAGAAGGCTAACTTAGGAACTTGGGCTAGAAACTTCCTTTTTTTAAATCCTTTATATTAACTTTGCTTTTGTTTATGGGTGGGTGGCTGGCTGGGTGTGTGGCAGGCAAGATCTTCTGACAGCTAATTGACCCACTTCCCATCAAGCTATCGAGCTGAAAATTGGCACATAGACTCATTGCCGATGAAAACACATTCTATCAAATTTTCAGCCCCACCTCCAACAATCTGTTTTGTTCTGTTTCTCAAGAGGAACAAGAAGGAAAATTCTAGATAACTGCGCTTAATGAGATTTTTAAAAAAATATCGAAAGTGCTTATGGTGCGTAAGATTTCCTTTTGGTTTTCTGAAATAGTTGTGTAGTAAATATGCGGTGTGAAAACGGGTGGGTCATTAGAATATTAATATAGTACAGGGGGGTGGACAATGCCCGGTTGCCAGCCTTGGGAGGGGGCTCAGGGGGAGCACTAATTGGGATTCTTGTGAAGTAAATTGCTGGATATTATATTTTATAAAGGATTAAGGGGCCATCCATAAATGATGTCATGCAAATTTTTAAACCCCCCCTCTTCCCCCATTGTTACAAAAAGTTATAACCCCCCTCAAATATAATGTCACAAATCTTTGCACAACCCCCATCCACCTATAAAAATTCCCTGTGTCCATTACTGTCCTTTACAAACCCTTAAGAAATTCACTTTTCATGGATATCAAATAACTGCACCAGTGTCAGAAATATTGCACTAGAATAGTGGTTCTTAAACAAGGGTAAAAGTACCTCCCCAGCCCTGAGGTGCGATTTGGGGGAGGGGGGGATGTTTACAATGGATTGTGCCTGCACCGCTGAAAAGTGGTTAAGAATCCCTGCCCTAAGACCACCCCCACCCCACCTCCAGGTCAACCATTTTTTTTTAGTTCCATCCCACTTCACATGGTATTCCTAATTCTATGAGTCTCCACATTTTGACTTAAATTCTCACAACTGTCAAAGTCACTACACCCATTTTCTCCTCCTCCTTGGCATCCCGTAACTTGATCAGAGGCCATTCTAGGACCTCCCATAGCATACCTGGACTAATTCTCTCAGTGATCGTAATTTAAAAATAAAATAGTCATAATTGTTGTATAATGTTAAAAGAATAATGTTGAAAATGTCTGTAATTTAGGATTATTAAATGTAATTATTTACTATATTATACTATAATATTATTATTAATATTCCTCTTTTCATGTAATGTCAAATTGCTTAAGCCCCCCCCCCCCCCCCCCCCCCCCCCCCCCCCCCCCCACCCCCCCCCCCACCCCCCCCCCCCCCCCCCCCCCCCCCCCCCCCCACCCCACATCATCACAAAAATATGACCTCCCTTCCTCCCTGCTCTAGACGCATGACGCCATTTATGGATGGCCCCTTATATGAAAAAGTATGTTTTTAGTTTTTTTTAAAGGCTGCGACTATTCGTACCAGAAGAGTGAGGTTGGGATTAAAAAGCTATTAAAAATGTTATAATTGGGTTTGTAAGACAAAATTATGTATCAAATGAAAGATAATTGAATGGACAATATGTTTGTAAACTTACTTCTTCAGTTTAACTAAAATAAACTACCACAAATAACATCCGAATAGCTTGAGTCTAATGGTACCCGGGTGCGAATGGCGGCGCTGCGTGTCTGGGTCCATTTTGACTCAGTGCTATTCAGATGTCATTTGTGGTAGTACTTTATTTTAGTTAAACTGAAGAAGTAAGTTTACAAACATATTGTCCATTCAATTATCTTTCATTTTCACTTGATACTTCATTTTGTCTGACAAACACAACAATAACATTTTTAATAGCTTTTTAATCCCAACCTCTCACTTATGGTACCCGGTATGAATAGCCACTTCGTTTTTTAAATTGAAACTCAAATTGAAACTAGAATTATAAATAATGATTGAGCAGAATCATTTTTAAATCAAAATAGTAAATAGTAGGCTAATTGTCATGTCATCAGTCATAGTCATAGTATAGTATTAATAACAGTGAACAGTATAGTATAGTCTATAATTATAGTATTTTATAATTCTGATGTTCAGAGTGATTTATGATTATGTTATACTGTTATACATACTCAGAGAAGAGGCACATGATTATACATCTTTTTAAGATACAGGCCTATGAAATATTTAGAATCATACCGAGAAAAAGTCACTGCAATTCCGTCCAAACTTTGCATTGCCCACCACGATTAATAACAAAAACAAACAATAGCAGTGCTTTTTAGTTTGTGTAACTTAATCGGCGAAACAATTACATTTGTCAGATGTTGCTAAAAATATTATTTACAAATTTATAATATTTAAAAAATATATGAATATTAATTTTTCTATTTTTTAATTAGTTAATTTTTTAAATTTGTGCATTAAAAATAATAGGCCTAAGCTTTAATTTTTTTGAATGATGCATTGAAAATTTGTTTTATAAACCAACGAACATTTTTACAATGTTCCTTTGGACTTGAAGGCCAAGGTTGCCCAATGGAGAATCAAAAAATGGCAACTTCATCAGGTGGAGGCTCAATCGAAATTCCTCTCAGGGATACTGATGAGGTAATTCTTTGATTAGTTTGGCGTTTTTTTTTTCCTGCATTTTATTTTTATGTGATGCATCATAATCATGGATCAAACCCTTGCCACAGTGAACCATGTTCCCTGGTTTTAATATTAAGATCTTGACCGCCCTAGTCTTCTATTGCTTCCCACAGATACTACTTACCAGCTAAGTGCTATTTCTTATTTTTATACCGTTTTTTCTGTTGTTTTGTTCGCTGACGAAGGCTTTCTGCCGACACGTTCGCTGTTTTGTTGCGTTTATTTTTTCAGGTTTAACCCTACTCTGTTTTACTCATTTTATTTTGTACTAACCTGATTGCAGTCTCTCCCCTTATGCCTTATTATCCCGTCCTAGTCTAGGCCCTCCTACGCCTACCCATATAAAAATAAATAGTAAATAGTGATTCCTAGACATTAAATGGATTAATTTGTGTTATAGTTCCACAATATACCCAATGACCTTTATAAATTAATGAGTGCTCATTAACATAAATAACACTCAGTAGTCATGTCTCCCTACAACAGAAAATCAAAGCAGGATGCTGTTGGTTTATGTGACCATATTTGGCATATTCATATTCATATTGCTAAACTTAAACTTAAACAATGTTTGGCCTAAGCTTATTTTATCCTCATTAAGCCTAATCAGTTATTATACAGTTTCATTTAACTAAAGTAACAATATTTTTTTTTTAATATGCACACATTGTATGCAGTAAAACTTCTTATGGTAATTATTTAGACCTGTATTTTAATTTATAATTTTATTCATAATAATTAGCACTCACAAAATGTTTACAGTGGATTTTATTTTTACTGCACATCGTACTTTTGCCTTGGCAAAGAAGAAGCTGGGTAACATTTTTTTCTGACTATGATCCCCTTCCCCCCAGTATCATACATCTATCTAAGATCTATATTAGGTCTATATTATAAATTATATAGCAATATAGCCAACTCTGAGCATGGGGAAGGCTACAGCAGATAGTGTTAAAATTTTAAAACAGTACTGTATATTTTATAATTAGTGCCGAGGTGTTGTCACTAGTAAGGGGCGATACTTCGCCAGCCTAGCCTCATTGAAAGCAGATTTTTAAAGCTAAGATTTTGGTTTGATTTGATCGGCTGGACTACCAATAGCTCTCTAGAAGCTATTGGTAGTTTACTACAAATAGCTCCCTACCCTAACTAGAAGCTATCAGTAGTAAACTATCAATAGTGAATATTTGTGGTAATAGTAATAGGCAATATATAGGACAGGGTAATAACTTTTTAGGGCAATAAATTTAATTTTTTTTAAAAGTGCCATTGACCATTGAGCCCATTGTCAAGTGCACATCTTCATAAGTGCCATCAAGTTTTTTAAATTAAAAAACGCCCTATATGCCTATAAAATATTTAACTGATGGAACAACATTAAAAAACTCCAATAGGGCAATAGTTAAAGAAAAAGTATTTATTGTTTTCATTCCAATTAGTATGTCATAATAATAATATTAATAATTAATATTAAAAACTACCGTATTTATTGGTGTATAACACGCCCTGCGTATAACACGCACCTCAATTTATGAAGGAAATTTCAGGAAAAAAACTAAACATTATATCACGTATAACAGGCACACATGATTTTCCCCTATTTTTGGGGAGAAAAAGTGTGTTTTATACGCCAATAAATACAGTAATTAGAAACAAAAGAATAAATGACTTGTATTCTATAAACTATTCTTATGTATTTTATTTCGTTTCATAGGGTTTTGAAAATATGATAACATTTTTTGTACAAATCAATAGATCAATAACAGTTTATTTATTATCTATTCAGCCTTTGGGGTAAAATTTTTGCACTTTTTAACTGATCACTGTAAATCTCCCCCTCCCCCTTTTTTTTTTCCAACACATACACACACACTGATAGTTTTTGTACCAGGGAAACTGGGCCCTGGCAAAAGATGTGAAGCATGAAACTGTGCTATGTAATAAAATTTAAAAGCGCGACCAATGTCCAAGCATTGATTCACATGTCATGGTTCATAATGAGCGGACTAGGGAAATGTAATGAGTGACCAGGGATTTCAATTTGAGATGCAAACTGGAGACATGACGGGTGAACGTGATTTGGAAGGTCCTTAACACTATTATTACGGTTCAGCTAGGGAAGAAGAAGAATGACTGTGTGGCATAGCGAGGGTTATTGCCAAGAATTTGCCACTCCCTAACACAAAATTAAAAATACTCTTCTGTTGGTCGAAAATGTAGCCCCTCCATATAAAAAAATGTGTATACCGCCCACTCTGTTGCCCAACTGCTATGCTAGTTGGATGACTTTTTCTTGGTGGAACTAATTTAAACTACATAACATAAAGGAAAATGGTTTTTGCATACTTTTATCTGCTTCCATTTTTAGCTCTCTTTGGGTTTGACTAGTTTTTAAAAACAATATTTTATTTTGCTACCCTGTATAATCAAGACAACAGTAAAATATGTTCCAATACTTGTTATATTTGTTAAATCTTCATTCCAATTCACAAACAGTTTATTATCAAATTCAATTTGAAATATATACCGGCTGTGAGAGTTCCTGTAAATATCAATAGACATAATTTAATCTTAATATATAATTAATAAAGATATATTAATATATTTCTTTGTCCTTTTTTGCTATTCTATAATACTAGTTTATAATATTTTTCATTCGTATATCATGTCTCAGGTTATTGAACTGGACTTTGACCAGTTGCCAGAAGGAGAAGAGGTTCTCAGCATTTTAAGACAGGAAGTCGCACCCCTTCATATATGGGTCACATTGGCTGTGAGTGATTATTGACATAATTTTACATTATAACTTTTGAAATTTTAAATATTTTATTGATTATTGTTTTATTTACAAATGATGAAAATATTAAAAAGATAATAAATAGTGACAATGTCAATTTACTACCAGATATTCCATTCATTTCTTTGTTTGTGTTTGCAGTTGGAGTATTGGAAACAGGGGAAGCCAGATGATTTTGTGAAAATTTTAGAAGCATCTCGTACAGACTCTAGTTTGGACTATGCAAATTTTGAGAAAGATCAGATGCGGTCCTTGGACACACTGGCAGCCTACTATGTGCAGCAAGCACACAAGGAAAAAAATAAAGACAGGAAAAGAGAATTGTTCATGAAAGCAACTCTGCTATACACAACAGCTGACAGAATCATCATGTATGATCAGGTTAGCTCCTGAACTACAAACAAATAAATGTTATATATTATCAGTCTTATTACAGTACATATATTTATTTTATTATTCAAAAAATAAAAAGCTCATATTTTTAAAATTTTATTTCCAATAAATTTGTCAAAAATATTTTCCAAAATATTTTCTGCACAGAATACTAATGAGGTTGGAAAATCTTTTTTTGCACAGAGGGCATCATAGATATTAATTTAAACTTTTTAACTAGTAGTCTGGAAGGTTTTTTGAGCAAATATTAAACATTTGAAAGGGCTATTTGTTTACCACACTTGGTCTAGAATAAAAATAAATACCTTATTTAATGAAGTATGGCTGTAGCATATTCAGATCTGCTTTATTTCATGATAGAATCACCTACTGGGCCGTGCTTACTTTTGTCTGTTGGAAGGGGACAAGATGGACCAGGCAGATGCACAGTTTAACTTTGTCTTAAATCAGGTATAATTATTATACTTATAATCTTTTTTATCTGGCAACATTATGGTGAATTTTGGCTATTTTACAATAATTTGTCTTCCAAATAGACTTAAAAAGCAATATTCTTTTAAACTTAAAAAAAAATAAATTAATTAAATGACTTCAACTGTTGTATCCCAGTGATTAAATTGTATATGACTTATTTTTTTTTCATACAATATAGGCTCTATTTTTAATTATCATAATTCAAAAACCACCCGTTCTTTCTCTTACTTATTTCGCTCTAGTCAAGTAACAACATCCCCTCATTGCTTGGGAAAGCTTGTATAGCTTTTAACAAAAAGGACTACAGAGGTGCATTGGCGTATTATAAAAAAGCACTGCGTACCAATCCCACATGTCCCGCATCAGTCAGGCTTGGCATGGGTCACTGTTTTGTCAAGTTGAATCGCTTGGCAAAGGCTAGGTAACTCTTTGCTTACAAATAAAATTAAAAAAACAGGACACTTTCACTTATGCTTTTGACATAAGGGAAATTATATATTTATCTTCTGTATTTAATGGATAGTTCTCGCAACCAGAATTACTGTAGTAAGGCACCAATGGCAGTTTGGCATGACATGAAAGTTAAGCTGGCCATAATTGTTTGGAAAATTTAGTAACAGTACTTTTTCAGTTTTAAGGGGATCCACGGGTCACAAAATAATGGAAATTTGAAAAAAATATCGATTCTTCAAAACTTGGATTTTCTGTTAGATTAATATCTTTATTATCATTAAATAAAGTAAAAATTATGAAATTAATTAATTTTAATATAATAATTGTGATTTGAAGGGGTTGGGGGTCTATGTTTTTGTTCACACCTAACCCCAAATGACCTATTTTTCAACACTTGATTGCGCGGAAACCCCCGGTTCGATTCTATCATGTTTGGTATCGTTAGAAAGCTTATCACCGCATAAAGAATGCCATTCCGATGACTAATTTATCTAAAAATAACCATTCACGTAAAAACCATGTGTATCACGTGTACACAAAAGTAGATGATTGGCCAATTCGTAGCTATAAACAATTCTCTGCATTTTGATTGGTCCATGTCCGCCATTTTCCTATACGGAAGCCGTGACCTTCCACATTTTCCCCTGACGACGTGTAAACAAAGAGAATGTCTTTTTCGTCGATTCGAAGTGAAAATTTGCTTTACTGTTTTAGGATTTGATTATTTTTCAATTGATTTCATAAAATAAGGTAAGATTAATTTGTATATGATATTTTTATAATTGAATTCGGTATTATTATTTCGTTCATTGGTAATTTTGTGGTCTAGTCTTAGGACGCCACTGCTAGACCGAGTCAGTAAACTTAGTCAAGTCACACGTGAACTGTGTATTACAAACATTAGACCTGTTGTACTCTCATTACAAACTAAATGTACATATTATATAGTAATACTAAAATATTTTAATAATAGTTTAACGATTTACTTCTGGTAGGCTACACTATACTATAATTAATTGTAATTGTAATCATACCATAATACTATACTAAAAATAGTACTAGTACTAGTGATAGTGCATCTCATATACTCATACACCACATGGGGAGACACATTTGAAATATTTATAGGCTATATAGGACTATTGATAATGACTGGATCTATTTTACAATATACAGGCACTGTACCTATTTAGTTCTTATTGGGCTTACTAAATTAAAAATGTTCTATTTATAATAATAATATTTGGTTATTTTCAATTACAGGTACGTGTGTTCATTCTTGCAACTTTTTTTGACATACCAGTTGCTTTGTTTATGATATTGTTTTATTTTTATTGACAATTTTTTTATTTCTCTATTGCTATTTCTTCAGTGTTATGCCTCCAACTAAAGAATTGACAAAGAGTACTGCTTCAAGATCTAAGCTGAAGAGACATCGACAACTATGGCAAGAGCGGCCAAGTCGAAGAAGAATGAACTCTCAACCATCGCTTTGTCCCCTCCCTGCCAGTTGGACAACCACTCTGTAGCAGATATTCAGGATATACAACCCGAGTCATTTTGGGACAGGGACAGTCATTTTGCCGGGTATGCATGAAAGCATGAACTTGGCTTTTTTTTTGCTGCCACCGACAGCCCCAGCGATTCACCTTCGCCAACAATCTATGTTGCTATTTAAAGTTTGCTATACTGGACTGCAATGTGCCTCTTGCAGTACTTAGTCTCTTCACCTTCTACAGGATGAGAAATAAAAACTGTAGACTTGCAGTATATTTGCTGTTTTTTTTGTGCAACCTGCGAAGCGGTAAAAACTGAGAAAAAATTTGAAAGTGTCCACACTCTAAACAGACAGGCTGTGGCTGCACCATTTGCAGACCCATCTACTTGGAAATACAAGGGACAGTTTCTGCATCTATAAAGCCCAGAGGTCACTAGAAAATAATGAAGTATTTGGAAGGAGGTTTAAAAAATAGCTGCAGAAAAAGAAATGCAGAGTTGAGTTAGAGTAAGGGTGGCCGCAAGAAATACTTGAAGGGGCTGATTTTTTTATGTCGTCTACTAATAAATTAAAAAATATATCTTCCAATTTTTATAAATTATGTAGTATGCTATTTTTAAATCATAATGATAATGTTGAAATAATGTTTTTGGTATGCAAAGTAATTTTTTTTGGAAATTTAAAAAAAAAAAAAAAATTTTGCCGCGGGGAGGGTGTTGTATATTTGTCACTGAAAATTTATTTTCCACAGGTTTACATTTGTTTTTTGCTTATTAACATGCCCAATGATTTTTATATTGAATAAGATGAAATTTATTTGCTTACATTATGAATAAGACTTAAATTTCTTCCAAAAAGAGTTTATTTTCTGTTTTTCTCAAAATAAAATTTTTAAGGTATACTAAATGTTAGGCTTCATTTTTCTCAAAATCTACCTGTTCAATTGTTTTGAAATTGTGTATACTTGTTTAAATATGGCTTAAGATTATAGTGACAGAGCCGTTTAGGTTAAAAATGATCATGGAAAAAAAATATTTTTATTGAAAGTGATATTTTTAAAGAAAAAGTTGCGCGGCCAAACAAAAACTAAACAGCACCAAAAGGACATGAAAAAAAAAAATTGGCTATCTTTTTACCCAAAGTCTCAATGTTATCATATTTAGTAGGCTTATGGCTAATTAAATGCAAAATTTGAGACCTGTAGCTGCTGTGGCTTTTATATAAAACCTTTCCTAAGGTTCCCATGATTTTACCACCTCGACCCCAAATATGCTCCGCTGAAGGAACATTTTTTTAAATAATTAAATTTGTCCACCATATTTTACTTATCTATGCCCATACAAATAAATAAAAAAACTTTAAACATGTTAAAATGTTAATAATTTAGAAAATGAAAATGAAGGTAGTTAACCCCCTTAATTACATTGAAAAGGATTAAAAACATTTTATGCTTACTCAAATGCTCACAAAGTAAAATGTGTTTAATGTTTAGAATGGCATTTGAGAGGTCCCTCCAGCTTGATCCGAACTGTGTCGGAGCTCTTGTCGGCCTTGCTATATTGGAACTCAACTCAAAGACTCAAGAGTCTATAAAAAATGGAGTCCAGCTGCTTTCCAAGGCCTACACAATAGATTCATCCAATCCCATGGTTTTAAACCACTTGGCAAACCATTTCTTCTACAAAAAGGTTTTCTTTGATTGCACTTTTTTTTGTTATCTCCAATTGAAACTTTGTACATAATCTATTTATTATTATTTTTTTAAAATCTTAGCTTTCAACTACAAGATTAAAAAATGTTTTTTTGCTAGAATATTTAAAAATTGTTGAGTCTAGAAATTAAAGTTTAAAATTTCTGTGCTCCTTTCAGTCCCTTATGGCCATTAGTAGTTAATGAGTTTGACTAGCACAGGACATATTATGATTTCTTCACGTCGGTGGCATGCAACTGAGAAAGTCCTCAGACCTATTATTTCATTTTGGTAACTGTTTTAAAGCTTAAGACTCTTTCTTTTGTTTAGGACTACCAAAAAGTTCAGCATCTAGCACTGCACGCCTTCCACAACACAGAGAGTGAGGCCATGAGGGCAGAAAGTACATATCAGCTGGCCAGGGCTTTTCATGTCCAGGTAACTTATAGTTTAAAAACGTGAACATCTTCATGAATTAGCAACATTTAGCTTTTATTTGTTTGTTCATTAAAAAATACTTTTATAAAAGAATTGACATTTAAACAAAATCTTTTACAAATGACTTCTTTAGAAGAAATCTCTTAACCCTTTCATTGCCACTGGGTGGTGGGGGGGAGAGAGGCATCGGATTTTGCTGATACCATGATAACATTTTTTTAAAAAGAAGACATTTTCTGTATTTTTCATTCTCTATCCCATTTGCTTATTAACTTCTCTATAGATTGACGAATAAAGAAATATATAGCATTGAAATATGACGTCCTTGGTATTTCAGAAAAGTTCTTTGCCTCTTTGTTATGACGACAATGTGACGTCCTTTGTAATTGAAAGTGGGTGATTGTGACATCACGTTGACGTTATCGGTAGCGAAGTGGTTAAAATGTTGGTTTTGTTAGTTTAATTTTAAAACCATCGTTTGTTAATTTTATGACAATAGTTTGTTAATTTGACGAGCATAGATTGTTTGTTCCGTCCACAGGAGGACTATGACCAAGCCTTCCAGTATTATTACCAGTCTACTCAGTTTGCACCTGTGAACTTTGTTCTGCCATTCTTTGGCTTAGGCCAGATGTACATCTTTAGAGGGGACAATGATAATGTGAGACTAATTACACAATTACGGAATTTAAAAAGAATTTTAAAAAAATTCTGCTGGCATAATCTTACTACACCTATTCAGTTGTTTCCTCCAACTGAATCTAACTGTATATGATCTAATCATCAGTTCTAATCATTGTTGTATTAGGTTTATACAGGGGAAGAAATAATCTTGGTTTCTTTTGTCCTGTTTTATGGCAGACATTAAAAAGCCATGCAAAATATTTTCAAGTTTTTTGTCCAAATAAACAAGTTAACAATTCTCAGATTGACAAAAATAATTTTTCTGATTTAGGCAGCTCAGTGTTTTGAGAAAGTCTTGAAAGCTCAACCAGGCAACTATGAAACCATGAAAATATTGGGCTCACTGTATGCCAGCCACGGTGACCAGGAGAAAAGAGACATAGCAAAAGTGAGTTGAAACAAGCTCAAAATGAAACAACTAAACAACTTGACTCGTTAACAAAATTACACATTTTTTTAACATGGACCAATCCTAAACCTAACACTTGATGCAGGCGTAACTCTCCATTGTATAATATAACACAGTTTTTTTTTCTAATTTTTTACATTTCAATTTGCACATGCTGTAATATGATAAAATTATTTTGTTTTTTGTACGGTAGCAACATATGAAAAAAGTTACGGAACAATTTCCTGATGATGTTGAGGCTTGGATAGAATTGGCCCAGATTATGGAGCAGACGGACGTACAGGTCAGTTTCAATGTTCACTCAATGTGATACATGTCATATTTTAACTGAAGTCTTGTTAAATGCAGTTCTAATGTAAAGGCAAAAAATTATTGATTGGAAATAAATCATTTGAAACTTAACCCTTTCCCCCTTGGAGTCGCCGATCCTCGCGCCTACCGATAGACAAAGTCGCAGAGCGTCGCCGATTTTGGGTTGTTTCGCTGCAGAAACGATCCAACTTTTTAAGTAGTTATTATATGTTTTCCTAAACTCTCAAATAAAAGAGCTATAAATTAAATATGCTTCCTTTTCGTCTTTCTTTGATTATTTTTGGACGAGTCTTCTGTTTTTGACAATTTTTTTAATTTTAGTGTTTTTTGTGGATTTCTTTTTCAAAATGGATGATGTTCTAAGGATGTTTAGGGATGCTACAGGGTACGATTATGATGGGAATATATATGATTTAGGGGATAATAATGAAATTGATGAAGGTGAAAGTGATGATGATGTTCCAATTGAACAGTTAGACCTTAGTGACACGGATAATGACACTGATAACGAGTCCGATGATGCCGTAGACCCAGACAACATAGACCCAATAGGTCCAAACATCGTAGGCCAGTGGGATAACATTACAGCTGCTGTGGTCAGGAAATTCATTGCAGATAGTGGCCCTAAACATGATTTAGAGTCATATGCAGAGCCATTGGACTATTTTAGTTTGTTACTACCAGAAGACTTTTATACAACAGTAGTGAACCAAACAAATCTGTATGCTGAACAATGTCAACAAAGGACAGCTAAAGTGGACAAATATTGGAAGCCTGCAACAGTTTTTGAAATAAAACTGTTGTTTCACATTTATATAATTATGGGTATGCATGTTCTACCAGAATACTCTGAATACTGGTCAACAGATGATCACCTCTATGTCCAAGGGGTGGCTTCGTGTATGAGTAAATCACGCTACGAGAAGCTGTCACAATACTTACATCTAAGTGACTCATCTCTAAATCCTCCCAGAGGCCAAGAAGGCCATGACCCCCTACATAAAGTTAGACCACTTGTAGAACTCATAAAAGCTAATTCAGCCTCCTGTTATACAGCAGGCAAGAACATAAGTTTAGATGAGGCAATGATAGCTTACAGTGGGAGACGGGCAATTCAGCAACAGGGTACCTTCTTGATTTCAATATATATACTGGAAAGGTGAAAGATGACATGCCTCACGGACATATTTGTGGACATTATGATGTTTCTAAGCTGGGGGAAAGATTTTTATATAATTATCACCACTTCTTCTTTGATAATTATTTCGTTGATTCAATTAGCTCAGGATCTGTTGGCAAATGATACTTATTGTTGCTCAACACTAAGGCCCAATAGAAAAGGATGGCCATCAGAATTTAAAGCGTCAAAAATAAAAAAAATGAAAAAAGGAGACATTCAAGTCAGGCAAAATGGGAATCTTGTGACCACAGTCTGGAAGGACAAAAGATGTGTTACGCTGCTAAGCACTAACACTGCTCCAGGGATGTCCACAGTTTCACGTCGTGCCCCAGGAGGTTGGTATGAAGTGACTATTCCAACTGTTGTGGATGTGTACAACAAATCCATGGGGCGTGTGGACAAATTGTTTCAGTTGTGTTCCTACTATCCAATAGGAAGAAAATCTGTAAAGTGTTGGAGATACATATTTCGATTTCTCCTTCAGATTGCGATTGTCAATAGTTGGATCCTGTCCTCCAATTCTCACAGACCACATCCAAAAAAAACACGCTGTCCCATAAGGAGTTTCGCTTAACCCTTAGCTCATCTTTGCTGAAAGCCTTAGCTCATCTTTGCTGAAAGCCTTGGCTCATCTTTGCTGAAAGCCTTGGCTCATCTTTGCTGAAAGCCTTGGCTCCTCTTTGCTGAAAGACTTAGCTCATCTTTGCTGAAAGCCTTAGCTCATCTTTGCTGAAAGCCTTGGCTCATCTTTGCTGAAAGCCTTGGCTCATCTTTGCTGAAAGCCTTGGCTCATCTTTGCTGAAAGCCTTGGCTCATCTTTGCTGAAAGCCTTGGCTCATCTTTGCTGAAAGCCTTGGCTCATCTTTGCTGAAAGCCTTGGCTCATCTTTGCTGAAAGCCTTGGCTCATCTTTGCTGAAAGCCTTGGCTCATCTTTGCTGAAAGCCTTGGCTCATCTTTGCTGAAAGCCTTGGCTCATCTTTGCTGAAAGCCTTGGCTCATCTTTGCTGAAAGCCTTGGCTCATCTTTGCTGAAAGCCTTGGCTCATCTTTGCTGAAAGCCTTGGCTCATCTTTGCTGAAAGCCGTGGCTCATCTTTGCTGAAAGCCTTGGCTCATCTTTGCTGAAAGGCAACATCATTTGGAAGTGAAAACCAACAAGTCAACCAGCTTCTCAAGGAGTAGGGACTGCTGATTTGCTTGAGCACCGGCTGATACGGATGGTTGGGAACAAACGTGCTTTTCACTTTTGTTCAATCAATAAACAGTCTTTAAAAAGAAAGAGTTCACATGAGACTGTTTATGGGTGTCATTTGTGCCAAGCTAGACTGTGTAAAGGAGAATGTTTCTCAAACTTCCACGCAAACTTGATGCCAACTTCTGTCGCCAACACTTCTAGTCAAAATTAAACATTTTTTTCATTGTTTTTTTTAGCCTTTTTTATAAGAAATTTTATGTAATATTAAACCTTGTCCATATTTCATTTTATTTCCAAAGTTTGACTTTAATCGCTTTAATAGTTTGGTTTTTTTGTGAATTATAAAAAATTGTATGTTGGAAATTTTATGGAGTTGTGCCCCTTTTCTCAAGGAAAGACTGTTTGTGGCTCAGTAATGGCCTAAGGGCGAAAGGGTTAATTTTCTAAAAATAGGGTCAGAATACAAATTCAGGGAAGGTACCCATATTTTTATGAGCTAACTGTTAAATGTATACATCTTGCAGGGGGCTTTATCAGCCTATGGAACAGCAACCCGCATTCTTAAAGAGAAAGTCGAAGCTGATATCCCTCCAGAAATATTAAACAATGTTGCAGCATTGCACTTCAGGCTTGGTAATTTTGAAGATGCAAGGGTGAGTACTTGATATTAAAACATCTAGGACACATGCTCAAAATTTGACATAGTAAAGCTAACAAATGTTGTCTTTTTGAGATACAAAAAGGTTCAAGTATGTAAAGTAGATACAAAATCTCTTAAGTATTTAAAGTAGATATAAAAGTCTCTGTGTATGGAAAGCACTTATCTTTTGTTGGCTATCACTCACTCATTCTGTGATATAGAAACAAAGTCAGTGATGAGTACGTTTTTTAATCCTAGCTTTTCTATCTCAGTTTGGAAGGTTGTTGTAACGCACCACATATATATATGTGTTATGTGTGTCTGGATTATGATGACCTTACTTGCAATGATTGACGTGGATTACTTATCTTCAATCACAGACGTCCATTAATAGTTAACAGTAAAACACGACTTATAATTTTTTCATCACTATATATTTATTACTTGAATACAGCACATCACATGAAATAATATCTCTGAAGATCATAGTAAATATAAGTTTCACATTTATAACTTCTTCGGTACACTTGACAAATCAATATTAAGATATTGATCAATAACTAGAATGAACATGGCCAGTGCCAAAATATATGAATCCCTGCAGAACAATACTGACAGTTACTTCTGTCCCTTAATTCCTAACTTCCTGTTATTTCTATTTTACAAAACAGTTCATTATTTTACGAAACAAAATTGGTATATGAGTATTAGATCTGTGACAGTTGTAAATAAAAAAATAAGCAGAGACTAACTAGAAGTACTGTCTGCGGTTCAGAAACCTATACACAATGTCTGGAAGAAAGATAGAGAGGAGGTTACTGATATATTTCATGGCATCTTAATATTTGTTGATTTGTGACAGAAATATTATGAAGCGTCACTGGAGAGATCTAAAACTGATGCACAGCATGATGAGACATATTACAGCGCCATCTCTGTCACTACAACGTACAACCTGGCCCGATTGTATGAGGCCCTTCATGAATATGACAAGGCTGATAAGTTTTACAGGAACATCCTTAGAGACCATCCCAACTACGTTGACTGTAAGAACTCACTTAATGTTAACCCATGAACTGTCATAACGGCTGATCACTGGCCGTTATGGATGCTTCTGTGGTTTTACAGTCGATATAATCAATCAGCCTCTACAAAAATTAATATAATAAATGCAAATCAGAAGTTTTAAATTTTTCTTTGAAATGGGGGATTATAGTATAACCCCAAGTAACTTTATATTTTCTAAACTGAAAGAATAATTGTTTATGTGTCTGAAAAACATATTTAGATGATAAAAGGGATGCAAAAATCAGTGTCATATTCATTTCACATAATCCCAACATTTAATTTCATATGATTCCTTGTTAAATTTACTCTCAAAATATATATAATATATATACTGATATGGGTCCCTGGATTTATTTTCCATTAGTTTTAGTTATTTTAGTGATACTTATCAAAGTTACTAAAAAAAAGTTTTTCGACACCACAGCACATTTGCATTTGACCAAACTTACTGTTCTCTTTATGTACTAATGAAAGTAATATCAAGACATGAACTAAATTGATATTTTATACATATTTAACATTGCTCCGAGGTTCACCTGATTAATGTAGTGGCTTAGGTTACTGAAATTTCTCAGTTTAACTTGCTTTCTTCCAAAAATGCCAAATGTTCCTTTGATTTCCTCCAGGTTACCTACGGCTAGGCTGTATCGCCAGGGACAGGGGACAGATTTATGAAGCCTCCGATTGGTTCAAGGAAGCACTTCAAATTAACCAGGTTTGGAATCCGCCAAAGAAAATCTACAACAAAACATTGACATGTATTTTGTGTGTTATCGTTATAAGCATTTAATGAATATGTTATTTAAGATACTTTTTTTTCAACTAATAGTTTTTTCTGTTATATTTGAAAGGATCATCCTGACGCTTGGTCCTTGATGGGAAATCTCCATCTTGCAAAGCAGGAGTGGGGTCCAGGGCAGAAAAAGTTTGAAAGAATTCTTCAGCGCCAGGCAACCAAAGATGATGCCTATTCACTGATTGCATTGGGGAATGTCTGGCTTCAAACACTCCACCAACCAATGAGAGATAGGGATAAGGTCAATGACAATTAGTGAACACTGATCCATAGCTAAGCAATTAGTGAACTCTGTAACAGAGCCAAACAATTAGTGAATTCTGATAGAAGTTTAGTAGAAATTCATCTAGCATCTCACTTACCTCTGTACTCAAAGTGTCATCTTCTGTTCCTTAGGAGAAAAGACATCAAGACAGAGCATTAGCCATGTACAAGCAAGTTCTGAGGAATGATCCTAGAAATATCTGGGCAGCTAATGGTATAGGTAAGTTCACATTTTGAAAGCTCAAGGCATATAAAATTAGGAGTTAGAAATGTACAGGACAGGAACATTGAACATATTCAAAGTTTTAATGACACGTCTAGCTTTAAATGCTGTCTGCAAAACGAGAGAGATTAACATTTTTCTTTCAATGACGGTGATTTAACATCAAAATAGCAAATTAGGTGAGGTGCGGGGGAGAAATCATCGAAAAAATATATATTTTTTTTATTGCTACTGGATTTTGATATAATAGGTTTCTAAAGCCATTTTTTTGTTTAAATAACTTTAAAAATAAAAAATTTATTAAAAGTTGTTAGTATTGTAAAATGTTATTTTGCTAACCCTCTAAATGGGTATAAAAACATTATGGACCAAATAAACAGAGTTTTTACTGATTTGTTTCGTGTACTTAGAATCACCAAACCACCTCATATTTGGCACCGGTATTAACAAAAAGCTTGACTTCAACAAATATAGCTTTCTGCCATTACAAAAGTTTCTGAATCCTTCAATCAGTGTTGAATCATGTTAAAAAAGGGTGTTTTCCTGACCTACTTATGGGGTTTACTCATTTCATATACATCAACCTTGAACTTTGAATAAAGCAAGCATTTTGATTGATTACAACTGTGGAAAGTCCCAATAGTTCTACTGCCATGAGTTCCATTTAGATCCCTAGTAATACTATCACTTCACAATTACATGCTGATGGAGCAGCTAAAATAATAATTTATTCAGGGTAAAAAAAGTGCTCGCACTTAACATTTTAATTTTCTATTCTTGAGAGTGATTTGTGCAAATGCAAAAGTTTATTAAAATGGTCAAGTACAAATAAGTAATCTAATTTTTTACTGCTATTTTCTATTCATTTTGTCTTTTATTTTCATTTTTCCTTTTTAGTGTTTTTTGTCATCTAAATGCTTATAACTTTTTAAATTCTGAACCAAATTACACCATATTTTCTCAGAATGTTCTTTCAACATAAATAAAGATTTGAGTAATCTAACTTTTTGCTCAAATTTCAATTTTTAACACAAGTACCTCTATAGCAAAATCCTGTTACTTAAAGTTTTAGAACATGTCAAAAATTGAAGTAATTTTTATTTACATTCTCAGGCAATAATTTAAATGATGAAAGCTGCCAGTATGGATAGTCATAACTTTAAATTCAAAAAAGCTTTAGGCATTTGAAATTAACACCAAAAAAATCCAAAATGGCAGATGTTTCTGAGTTACCATGGAAACCAAAGTCATTTTTTATTATCTTTCTCTTGTTTTTACATCTATTGTTGGAACTAACATAAATATTTTAATAATTTAAAATGATACAGGAAGCCAAATAAAAAATGTAGATTTTTCACCTGCATCTCCCCGAAAATTAATTGTTTTAAACAAAATAGCATCGCTATTGATCAACTAAATTAATTGTTTTAAACAAAATAGCATCGCTATTGATCAACTAAATTAATTGTTTTAAACAAAATAGCATCGCTATTGATCAACTAAATATTGTTTTAAACAAAATAGCATCGCTATTGATCAACTAAATTAATTGTTTTAAACAAAATAGCATCGCTATTGATCAACTAAATTAATTGTTTTAAACAAAATAGCATCGCTATTGATCAACTAAATGAATTGTTTTAAACAAAATAGCATCGCTATTGATCAACTAAATGAATTGTTTTAAACAAAATAGCATAGCTATTGATCAACTAAATTAATTGTTTTAAACAAAATAGCATCGCTATTGATCAACTAAATTAATTGTTTTAAACAAAATAGCATCGCTATTGATCAACTAAATTAATTGTTTTAAACAAAATAGCATCGCTATTGATCAACTAAATTTATTGTTTTAAACAAAATAGCATCGCTATTGATCAACTAAATTAATTGTTTTAAACAAAATAGCATCGCTATTGATCAACTAAATTAATTGTTTTAAACAAAATAGCATCGCTATTGATCAACTAAATTAATTGTTTTAAACAAAATAGCATCGCTATTGATCAACTAAATTAATTGTTTTAGACAAAATAGCATCGCTATTGATCAACTAAATTAATTGTTTGAAACAAAATAGCATCGCTATTGATCAACTAAATTAATTGTTTTAAACAAAATAGCATCGCTATTGATCAACTAAATTAATTGTTTTAAACAAAATAGCATAGCTATTGATCAACTAAATGAATTGTTTTAAACAAAATAGCATCGCTATTGATCAACTAAATTAATTGTTTTAAACAAAATAGCATAGCTATTGATCAACTAAATGAATTGTTTTAAACAAAATAGCATAGCTATTGATCAACTAAATGAATTGTTTTAAACAAAATAGCATCGCTATTGATCAACTAAATTAATTGTTTTAAACAAAATAGCATAGCTATTGATCAACTAAATGAATTGTTTTAAACAAAATAGCATAGCTATTGATCAACTAAATTAATTGTTTTAAACAAAATAGCATCGCTATTTGATCAACTATATAAATTGTAAAATTTTAAAAAATTAAGATGGTTAATAGGAGCAAATATAAAATAAAGGACTTAAGTAATGCACAATTAGTCTTATAAGTAGGATACATTGATCCATGTGATATGAAAGCTAATAATTGTTTATAACACTTCTCCCTTTTATATAATTTTTTTCCCCTTCTTTCTAAAATTTCACCCATCCTTCCTTTGCTGTTTCCTAATTGTAAATTTGTGTTCTTCAACTTCCAAATTTTCAAAAGCAAACGTGCTGTGGTGTCAACCCTTTTTTTTAAAGTAACTTTGATATGTATCACTAAAATAACCAATAATAAAGGAAAATAAATCCAGTTACTCATATAAGTATATACATTTTGAGAGTAATTTGGACAAGGAATCATATGGTATGAATGTTGGCATTCTGTGCGCTATGTGAAATGAATATGACCTTGACCTTTCAACAGTCCATACATTTGTGCTACTGCTTATCTTTCCTCAACTCACACCAACACAGACTTTTGGGTCTCTCTTATCATCTACATATGTTTTTCCCACACAAACCATCATTCTTTCAGTTTAGAAAATATAAACTTATTTGGCTTTAGAGAAATGTAAAAAAATAAAAATTCATTGATGACCATCATATAACTTTATATAATGGCTACTAAATTCATTAGTACCTTATTTTCCATTACTTCCATTATTAAAATTTAAACTGCTACTATTGCTAGGTCCACTATTGTAACTATCTTCAAGATCAGTTTCATTAAGGAATATTTAAAATAAATTAGGCTTTTGTCTAGCAGGGCCATTATCTGAGTTCTACAATTTAGTTTTAACACAAAAAAAAATTTCAGCACAACTCAAAATGTAAAAATTAAATATTTGCCTTAGTTTTCTATAAAAAGGAAGTAAATCTAAACTATTAGAGTTATCCCCCTTTAAAAATAAAATGAAAGTAAAACTTCTAATTTGCATTTATAATTTTAATTTTAGTAGAGGCCGTTTTTATCGGCCATAACATCACAGAAGCATTATTAACACCCGATGATCATCTGTTATGACAGTTCTTTGGTAATCGGAAAAAAACTATACCTTTGTTTTGTGACCAGGCTGCGTGTTAGCTCACAAAGGTTGTATCAATGAGAGCAGAGATGTTTTCGCCCAGGTGCGTGAAGCCACTGCAGACTTCTGTGATGTCTGGCTGAACATAGCTCACATTTATGTGGAACAGAGGCAATATGTGGCTGCTGTACAAATGGTAACACATTCATATTCAGTGATAATTTGTTTCGCCACACAATGGCTAAATACTGCAAAGTGAAAGCTGCTAATACTAATTTTGAGCAGTGTTACTTTGTGTTCAGTGACTGGATTATATTATGATCTGTTGTGTGTTCAGTGACTGGATTATCTTATGATCTGTTGTGTGTTCAGTGACTGGATTATCTTATTATATGTTGTGTGTTGAGTGACTGGATTATCTTATGATATGTTGTTTGTTGAGTGACTGGATTATCTTATTATATTTTGTGTGTTGAGTGACTGGATTATCTTATGATCTGTTGTGTGTTGAGTGACTGGATTATCTTATTATATGTTGTGTGTTGAGTGACTGGATTATCTTATCTATTGTGTGTTCAGTGACTGGATTATCTTATGATCTGTTGTGTGTTGAGTGACTGGATTATCCTATGATATGTTGTGTGTTCAGTGACTGGATTATTTCATATCTTTGCTGTCACATTTAATCTCTGTCTTATTTGACTTTACAGTATGAAAACTGTTTAAAGAAATTTTTCAAAAGCCATAACATTGAAGTTATGATGTACCTGGCCAGGGCATATTTCAAGTGTGGCAAGCTGGCAGAGTGTAAACAGACTTTGCTAAAGGTTAGTCAGTGTGTGTGCATATCGCAAAGGATGAGTTAAAAAAATATTTATTTTAATTTTTGCTGACTGCTGCGTCAAAAATAAAAACAGAACAATTTGAAAGAAAATAAATTATTTAATACACATAAATATAAATTAGACATCAAAATAAATGCTATTTAAATTGGGTAGCTTTTTTATTTACAATGATGCTTTCAATAAAAGTATTGTATTTTTCTTTTTGTTTCAGGCCCGTCATGTTGCCCCTAATGATACTGTCCTCCTGTATAACATAGCCCTGGTCCAACAGAAACTGGCCACCATGATACTCAAGGATGAGAAGAGTAACTTAAAGAAGGTCCTCATAGCTGTCAAAGATTTGGAGTTGGCTCACAGGTGAAGCTTGATAGTGTTGCCTTGACAGGTGAAGTATGGCTTGGGTACAAGACAAGAGACTTGTCAAAAATGGAAGGACTAGATGAAGGGCCGACTTTGCAGTAGTTCGGAATAAACAATTGGTTACCTTGTTATTGGGAAGGCTCCAGGGATTGGCAGCATTCCTGGGGAAGTCCTCAAAAGTGAAAGACCAATACTAATTCAGCCCTATTAAATCTAATAGAATTATCCATGCTATTATATCTAATAGAGTTATCCATGTCCTTATATGAAGTTGAGTCATCCATGCCATTAAGTCTAGTGGAGTTATTCATGTTGACAAAATCTTTCTCGTCCAGATATTTCACCTACTTGGGTCAGCACGGAGACCGGATGAAGTTTGACTTGGCTCAAGCAGCAGCGGAAGCACAGTAAGACACTGCGGAAATTGATCTTCTGTAGCCCTGTTTCATTCTTCTTCTGGGTCTGCCTTGTTACATCTCAAATGGGCTAGCTAAAAAAATGTTTATTTTGCTCTTTGGGCTTGAAACTATTCCTGAAATAAATGCATAAAGGTTGTTTAAAATAGAATTGTTGCCCTTTGATGAAAAGATTATGTTGTGACCCTATCAACTCTTTAGGCAGTGTTCTGACTTGTTGAGTCAAGCTCAGTATCATGTGGCCAGGGCGAGGAAAATTGATGAGGAGGAGAAGGAAATCAGAAAGAGGCAGGAGGAGGAGATGGAGGCCATCAAACAGAAGCAGCTGAGTGAACAGGTAAATGGGACTGTGGGCTGAGTGAACAGGTAAATGGGACTGTGGACTGAGTGAACAGGTAAATGGGACTGTGGACTGACTGAACAGGTAAATGGGACTGTGGACTGAGTGAACAGGTAAATGGGACTGTGGACTGACTGAACAGGTAAATGGGACTGTGGACTGAGTGAACAGGTAAATGGGACTGTGTACTGAGTGAACAGGTAAATGGGACTGTGGACTGAGTGAACAGGTAAATGGGACTGTCAGCTGAGTGAACAGGTAAATGGGACTGTGGACTGAGTGAACAGTTATATGGGACTGTCAGATAAGTGAACAGGTAAATGGGACTGTGGACTGAGTGAACAGGTAAATGGGGCTATCAGCTGAGTGAACAGGTAAATGGGGCTATCAGCTGAGTGAACAGGTAAATGGGACAGTCAGCTAAGTGAACTGGTAAATGGGACTGTGGGCTGAGTGAACAGGTAAATGGGACTGTGGGCTGAGTGAACAGGTAAATGGGACAGTCAGCTAAGTGAACAGGTAAATGGGACAGTCAGCTAAGTGACCGGTAAATGGGACAGTCAGCTAAGTGAACAGGTAAATGGGACTGTGGGCTGAGTGAACAGGTAAATGGGACTGTGGGCTTGGTTTGCAAGTTAACTGTTTTAGGGCTAGTGGCCATTGTGATTATTGTTACAAGCTTTCCTATTAAAAGGTAGTCTGTGCTTCCAAATGTTACATCTCTTTTCTTAAGGCCCATCTGTGTCCAATCTTACGATTGTTATACTCATTACTAGCACTGTTGTCTAACTTTACTGCCACACAGCCATTCTTGGTCCATATTTAAGATCAGCAACCAAGTTCATTGACAGAAGATAGAACAATGACAGGAACTTCAGGTTCAAAAAACTTTCTGTATTCTGACAACACTAGCATTTGCACTATCAAGCTATCTCTCCGCTGACTTTATTGTGACAACACTAGCACTTGCACTATCATGCTATCTCTCCGCTGACTCTCTAAAACATCAATGAACACCGCCTTTTATAACTCTACACAAGAAACACTCAGCATACACTAACTCAACATGGCCAACCAACTTCACACTCTGACCTCACAACCTACTACTCACAATACACCAAACATTCACGCCCCTAAAGCTATCTCACAACAATTATGCTGCTTTCTTAGCCAAATGTGTCCAAATGGTAACTCAAGTTGAAAAGATGGTTGTTCTTAGCCAAATGTGTCCAAATGGCACCGTAACTCAAGTTGAAAAGCTGGTTGTGGCCTGAAAGGAAATAAACGTCAAGGTTTGGTCAGAGTCAAAACTTGTTTCATTTTTAAAAAAGGATTTTCTCTGAACTTACACGATTCAATTCCTTTATTTGTTGACAGCTCGAAAAGCTGAAGCAGAAAGAAGAGTTGGAGAAGAAGATGTTGGAACAGAGAGCGGTCTTTGTGGAGAAGGCCAAGAAGATCAACCTAGAGCCAGAGCCAGATGACAGACCTCGCAAATCTGGTGGCAAGGTCAGTGCTCTTACTCAGTTTTACTTTTTTTCATCCGTCCATCACAATGTGCCGGATGGTGTAGACTCTGCTGGACCAAATGACAAGGCCTGGGAGGATAAGCTGGTTTCCTAGACAGCAAATCACCTCTCTCCACGCATCTGGATCACCCAATGGAACACCATGTGTGGAAGATAAAGCTCGGTACCTGTAGTGTCGCAGGAGTTGCTGGAATTTTTATTGTGTCAATGTCATGACTGCCTCGGGGACTCTATCTCCCGGTTTCAATTTAGAGTTTTTCTTCTCTTTGATGTGTCCCATCCACCTAGGGAGCTGCTGATGTTTTTGCTTAGGCTGCTCTGTGTCCCATCCACCTAGGGAGCTGGTGATGTTTTTGCTTAGGCTGCTCGGCCACATATTAAGATTGACACAATTTCATGGAAACTTGATTGCTCCTGCAGTCTCATTATGTTTTTTTGTCTTAAATCAATTTTTAATGTGTTTTTAGACTGCTGGTAGTTAAAGCTTTACTACAGTCCAACCCTTTTGTTATTTGGTAATTACACTAAATTACAGCTACAGTGCCTATTTGATTTTTTAAGATCCATTTCTAAGTGGCATGTAAAAACTAACCCAAGAACCTTTGTTGTCATTAAAAGTAAAAAAAAACCCATTACATTGCCATTTTGATTTATGAAGAAATAAGATGCAGAGGTTAACCTTGGAAATATATTTCTAAAAAATAAATAATGACACTTGTATTTTGATGGTCACACACGTATGTGCCACTGACAGTGTCAGGGCTGTATTTCATGGTCACACAGGTATGTACTACTGACAGTGTCAGTGCTGCATTTCATGGTCACACAGGTATGTACTGCTGACTGTGTCAGTGCTGTATTTCACTTCAAATGTGTCAAAAAAGCTTTTTAATAAATTCTTGCATGATTTGACAGCGTTCTAAGAGAGCTGAAGATGGAGAAATTTTGTCTGAGGGAAGTGAAGAAGACAGACCAAAGAAGAAAAAGAAGAAGAGATCTTCTAGTATGTCAGGTGATGAGGAGGAGGATGGAGAGAAGAGGAAGAAAAAGAAGACCAAGAGAAGGCAAGTCTCTTACACATTTACAGACCTGTTTACTCTTACTATTTTGGGGTAAAATGTAAGATTTTTAGATGTCTTTTGCGATTGTACGCCAAGACCTGCCAAAACTACGATTTTCAGAGACCTGGTGAAGCAAATATTTGGGTAATTTTTTCCAAAAAAAAGAAAATGAACTCAATTTCTGATGTTGAAGTTGTGGCCCCTTGTAATAGAGATCTGGCAGTGAATGAACCGAGAAAAACGATTGGTTGTATTTTTTTTTAAAGTTTGGGCCATCCTTCATTATATTATGTATGCACTGAAAGAGGAGGTGGGGGGGGGGGTTGTTGATTAAGGACATTTGTGGCATACGGGACGCATCGGTAGCGGGGATTGGTGGGAGTGTCAAAGGCTATGATAAAAATATCACCGCAACATATCGTATTTAGAGATCTGGCAGTGAATGAACCGAGAAAAACGATTGGTTGTATTTTTTTTTAAAGTTTGGGCCATCCTTCATTATATTATGTATGCACTGAAAGAGGAGGTGGGGGGGGGGGGTTGTTGATTAAGGACATTTGTGGCATACGGGACGCATCGGTAGCGGGGATTGGTGGGAGTGTCAAAGGCTATGATAAAAATATCACCGCAACATATCGTATTGATGGTGATGGTTGTCATATTGTTTACTTTGTGTGTCTCAGTGAACTAGCTAGCTGCGTCAACAGTAATATTTAGACTAAGCGACGACTTCACTCGCCATCCCCTTTGTCTCCTACCAAGTGCGTGACGTTGTTTTGTTACATAATTATTTTGTTCGTCTGAACCGCGATGATTGTGAAACAGAGAAAACTAGAGATGGTTTTTAAAATAAAATACATTATCCAACTGTTTTGCTTGGGAACGTTGGGTTTGGATATATTTTATAAGATCTAGTCAGCTTTATCCCCTCAACGATTTTAATACTACATTTTTGTATCACTACGTGCACTGTACAATCTGCAAGTAAGACTTTTTATCAGCAATTAGAGACAAAATGAGTTGTTTTGAATTTGGAGATTGTGTATGGTGCGGGTCTAAATATTTAAATCTATACAATCAATTGGCACATGTGCGTAATGACAGTTGGGGGGATGTTCCTCGGCAGAAAGTACACATGTTATTAAAAAGTTCTACAATATTCGTCCCGAACCTCTGAAAGTCCAAAAATAGCATTCTATTTATATCTTGAATGCTGTAAAATACCACCCAATATTTAGTAGGAATTATCATCGTGATGTTGTCAAGATGTATTTTCACAAATGAACCCGCTAGCTGTACTCAGTAGCAGAGAAATTACAGTAATATTTAGTACACATGTGAGGTATATTTCAGTGGGCTACGCCAGTGGTTCTAAAATTTTTGTTTCCCGGCACCTATGCCATATTAAGTTTTCACCACCTCCCTGTGTGAAATTCTAACAAGTACACTTCGAAATAGCAAATTAAAAAAATAAAATAAAGGGAGGGTTGGATAAAAATAAATATATCGTGTATGTAGGTCACTAAACGCCAGATGTAAATGCAAACAGTAGTTACCTAAGTGGGTTGCTGTAGTGTTTGCACCACGACCAAAAGTGAAAATAAAATTATGAAAATTTTGTAATATTTCGCAATGCCCTTGTCAGGAAGCCGGTAGTAAAAGGTAAATTTATTGCGTCCCTTGTCTAGGTGAAGTAAATGGGATTGTATAGTTAAATTCACTGTTAAGTTCCTTTCTAAAGACGATTTTGGCACATGTTGCTCTTTGCTACATTCTCATGGCCCTGCCCAATGGCAACGAGCATCCAGGGTAATGCGGCATATATTCTGGGAATCACTGGACTTGCTGAATCACCAGTGGTGAAAACCCATTTCACAATTTGTTGACTATAACATCATGATGTACAATGGATTGGGTTATTTAAAAAAGGTATTTTGTTTATGGGTGTGTGTGAGTCCAAAAGCTCATTGTGTAGTGTATGTAAAAGGGGGGGGGGGCGTAAAAAAAAAGTGCCGGGATGTGCTATATAGATGGCCCCTCCGCGTGCCGGGATGTGTTATATAGATGGCCCCACCGTGTGCCGGGATGTGCTATATAGATGGCCCCTCCGTGTGCCGGGATGTGCTGTATAGATGGCCCCTCCGCGTGCCGGGATGTGCTGTATAGATGGCCCCTCCGCGTGCCGGGATGTGCTGTATAGATGGCCCCTCCGCGTGCTGGGATGTGCTGTATAGATGGCCCCTCCGCGTGCTGGGATGTGCTATATAGATGGCCCCTCCGCGTTCCGGGATGTGCTATATAGATGGCCCCTCTGCGTGCCGGGATGTGCTATATAGATGGCCCCTCCGCGTTCCGGGATGTGCTATATAGATGGCCCCTCTGCGTGCCGGGATGTGCTATATAGATGGCCCCTCCGCGTGCCGGGATGTGCTATATAGATGGCCCCTCCGTGTGCCGGGATGTGCTATATAGATGGCCCCTCCGCGTGCCGGGATGTGCTATATAGATGGCCCCTCCGCGTGCCGGGATGTGCTGTATAGATGGCCCCTCCGCGTGCCGGGATGTGCTGTATAGATGTCCCCTCCGCGTGCTGTGATGTGCTGTATAGATGGCCCCTCCGCGTGCTGGGATGTGCTATATAGATGGCCCCTCCGCGTGCCGGGATGTGCTATATAGATGGCCCCTCTGCGTGCCGGGATGTGCTATATAGATGGCCCCTCCGCGTGCCGGGATGTGCTATATAGATGGCCCCTCCGCGTGTTGGTTTGCTTTGTATGACCTAATTTTATGACAAAATTATTTCTTACGGCTGACCGTAAACTGCTTTTCCTGAAAAAATGAATCTCAAGTTACTTGGTAGTTTGTTTTTGTTAATGACGCCCCAATTTGTTACCGGGTAATTAATTCTTATTTTAATACATTTTATTTTATGCTTATCTGACTTTGAGTTTGAACCACGTTAAATTTCACCAGTGACCTTATTTTCACCAGTGACCTTATTTTTACCAGTGACAGACTGGGATAATGTGATAAGCACATTCACATAAATATTAATTATACTGAGGTCACTTTGCTTTGCAGACGTGTATCTGCTATAGATATCAGTTTGTGGTTAGCATCAGTCATCTACTGTTTACCTTCAGTGCCATTTTTTGACGCCAGCTTAACTGGATTCCCCTGAACACACTATAGGAGTAGTTATTGTATACATCATATATGCTGTATTTTTATTTATTTACTATTAAGATAACTGTACTGTACTATTTTTGGATTTTGAGGGTAAACAGGTCTGCATTTACACTGGCATAAACTGATGTTTCACTCAATAGAGTAGATTTGAACTCAATTACACTTAAAATAAGTCCTGATTTTCAAAAGAACTAATAAGTACCTGATATGGCTAAGAGAACTCACTGAATGGCTGCTAGTGAAAAAAATTATTACTAATGTCTGTGCTGAAAATGTACAACGCAATCATAAAACATTTCCAATTATTTGGATCAATAAAAGAATCTTATCTTATCTTATGGGAGTGAAGCACACATAATAAATCTAATATATAATGGTCACCTCTATTAGTTGAGTGTGACCAATGATTGTTTAACTTACTGTCTTGGCCAACAACTCTGTTCTGCAGGCAAAAGAAAGATGATTTTGTCAATGACAGTGATGATGAAAATGATGACAGAGATCGAAAGCGTCGGAGGAAAGGTAGAGGAAGGGAAGGCAAGGGAGACAAAAAGAAAAAGCAGAAAGATGACGACGATGGTCTCACAGCCAAGCAGAGAAGGAAGATTGTTTCAAAGGCTGTCATTTCTTCCAGTGAAGGCTCCGACTCCGACACCAGGAAAAAGAGAATGGAAAGGTTAGTAAATATAAGGCATTGGTTACCTATCAGACTGTAACTTCTAAGTGCCATTATTATTTCAGATACTTTGTTCACAATGAGAATAGAGAACCAACAGTCGCAGAGTTGGGGGTTAGGTTATAAAAATATCTGAAACCCTTGTTTCAAATCTTCAAACATTTTATGTGGAAAGACTTGGGTACATTTTTTGAACAATCATTTCATTTTCATTGATTGAATATGAAGCCACTGGACCAATCCAGAGAGTTTGAGAAGCTGTTTTTTAAGTAGTTACTAGAGCAGTCATACATGATTGTGTAAATACAGAGTTGCTATTGATCAGCCCTTGGAATATCTCTTTGACTTGAAAACTAAGCCATTGCAATATATTGATTAAATGTCATATAGCAGTCATTACTTGTTTAACCCTCAAACTGTGATCGGCCGATATTCTCGTTCTGTGCTGTGGCGGCTGAAAAAATCGGCCGATAAAAAACACTGCCCAATAGCAACTTCCAATCCAATATTTAACTGAAATCATAGCCACTTCCTTTTATTAATAATTAAATCAACTTCCTGGTCAAGCTGTTTCTTGATAACTTAATAAGTAATTTTTAATTGGAATTTTTTTTATTGTCTTTTTTTTTTTTTTAAAGCTAAAATGGCGGATGCTATGGGCGGGACCTTCAGTACGAGAATTCATATAAATATTTTTAAAGCTTTTTAGGAGAGGATTTAAGTGCTACTAATGATGATTTTTTTATTAATAATTAAATCAACTTCCTGGTCAAGCTTTTTCTTGATAACTTAATAAGTAATTTTTAATTGGAATTTTTTTTATTGTCTCTTTTTTTTTTTTAAAGCTAAAATGGCGGATGCTATGGGCGGGACCTTCAGTACGAGAAGTAATATAAATATTTTTAAAGCTTTTTAGGAGAGGATTTAAGTGCTACTGATGATGATTTTTACATTACCCATGACATCTCTCTTCAGATTCTTCTTTTCATGAATCTGATACTAGTCTTAGTGATACTGAAGTAGGCCTACTAAGGCTACTATTAGACTTCGACCCAGGCCAGGAGGTTGGGCAAGGACTGACAGAATTTTAGTCACAGAAGCTACAGATTATAGATCAGAACTAATACTTTGTACTTGGTTTTAGCTGTGGTCCCAGTTTCTTATATAAATGACCTAAAATTACTAAAATTGCTTTCAGAGGTTTAATTGTAATCAAAACCTCAGCAAACTATACATTTTCTGAAAGATAAATGAATTGGCTACATTTAGATTTGTGTTTTAAGTGTATCTATAAAAATTAATGATGTTATGAGCACTTGAAAGCAAGACATTTTGTCGATTTTTTTTCCTTGAGCACGCCAAGGTCAAGGACACTGAGCAAAATTTTTTTTACGGGGTGGGCAATATAGCCAACTTTATCCCCATCCATCTTTCTAAAAATATATCATTATTGGGGTCTTGTATTAATATTTCTATGTCATTTAATGCAATTTCAAAAGGCACTCAAAAAGCTCTGAAAAGCTGCACACCACAGAATGATGCATGCCACTCGAGGGTTAAAATAATGGCCATACATTTTCTTTTTTACATTTTCAGCAGCAGCGGTAGTGAGAATGAAAGCAATGTACCAAAACGGAAACGTAAAAGGATTCTGGGAAGTGACAGTGAGGATGGGAGCAAGAAATCCGGTTCTGGCAGAAGTAGGTCAAGATCCAGGTCAAAGTCCAAGTCAGGATCAGACAGGAGTAGGTCAAGGTCAAAATCAGGCTCAGAGCGGAAATCAAGATCAAGGTCTGGCTCCAGATCGAGGTCTCGCTCTAAATCTGGAAGTGTCAAGTCAAGATCTAGAAGTGGCTCGAGGTCAGGAGGTGAAGGTAACAAGTCAGGATCTGAGGCAAGGTCACCACAAAAATCCAATGCGGGATCGGATGGCGAAAGAAGCGACAGAGGGGAGAAGTCCGGCAGTGAAAAGGGAAGTCATAAATCTGGCAGTGATGCTTCAGGAAATGAAGGAGGTAAATTATCAGACACTGGACACAAGAGCAATGCAGGATCTGATAGTGACTAAAAATTACTTTGTTTTGACACATTATTTTCTAATAAACAATCAATACAATTTTCTTGGAGACTCTGAATCTATATTTATAAGCTGAAAACACCCTGAGATTATTTTAATGTTTATGTAATACACCTAATACACCATTATGTAGTGTTTTCTTTTATATCATCAATACACCTGCAAAACAGGCATTTCAAGGGGAACACAACATGAGCAACACAATCAACTGATAGAACCATTTTTATTGTCAACAAGAAGAAAAAAAAAAAACTGCCAAAAGTCAGTAGTTTATGAAGCAATTCTTAGGGCAAGAGTCTGGATAAGTGGGAGACTGCATCGCATTCCAACCTCTTTGACTACTGTGATGTACAGTTACTTTAAAATTTGAATTGACCCATACAACACAAAGCAAGTGCCTACACAACTTTGGATCTCAACAAATTTTACTGTTTCACATTACCTGGCTTTTCTTGTAATATGGGGAAGACCGCGTTCAGGTTGAAGCAATAATAATATATGGGGAAAACCTAAGGACATACGAAACAAAACGCAGATGTTTCGGCTGAAAAAGAAATGGCGCAAGAACAAAAGAGAGGAAAAATAACTTTTCTGAGACGATCAGAAAGAGTGAGTTGGAAAGGAAATCATTTTTAATTACGGTAGGTAAAAGGTTTAAATAAATTTTTAAAACCAAATACATAACAACAATAAGCTGAGGACTGCGTACCTTTTGAAAGGATGAGGGATATGAGACAGATTTTCAGATTTTATGAGATGCTTAAGTTTACTAAAATATTAAATTTCTTTTACTTCTTTCATCTGTAAAAATATTTTTTTACCTTTTTGTCTGCTGATAAAGGCTTTAAGCACATACCTGGTTTTGTCTCAATTCAACCTTTAACCTTATGTTATTCAAGGTTAGATGCAACAAAGACAAGCTATTTTTATTGTTCTCTTAGAGGCAACAGCATTTTTATAATTTTTCAATGTACATTTTAGCCCCACTATAATGTTACTTCCGATATGACTTAGTCATGGCACAGTGCCCAAAATTTCATTTATTAATTTTCACATGATCTAAACCCACTAGAGATGTTATATGGTTTTTTGAGATGAATTATTGTGTTAGAGCAGTGTTCTACTATATTGGCTTTCAAGCTGGGCAGATCATAAATAATGTCTCTTAGTCTTAGAGACATACATAACAGAAGCTAGGCATTCATTAATGCTTGTGGAAGAATAAAATTAGAAGCAAATGTTCCATTAATTTGTACACTATCATGACACTGTTAAATAATTACAGCTTAAAAATATTTTTTTAAAAACCTTTTTAAGTGTTTTAACATTTACTTTAAGAAATATACCAGCATATTTAAGTGTAGACAAGTAAGTGGTTAAAATTCAATAAACAATATTTTAGCTAAAAATTGGTAAAAAAAAAAACCATGTCAAATATAGGGAAAAGCAAAACTATAAAATGGCGCTGCTTGAAATTAAGTCTACAAGTAAAGAAATGATGCTACCGGTGCATCTAATTTGAAACAAAATGAGAAAAGTCCTCTTATCCAAGCAGATACATGGAGAGGTGCCGTTATAGCTAATCGGCATTCAGAATGCACAAACAAAATAACTTGTTTGAAAAAGAAATGAAATAATTATTCACTTAGGGCACTAGTGGACTCAATGAAACCTGGATATTGCATGTTTTGTTAAGGAAAAAAAAGTCCATTTGACACTAAAAGGTGCAGTCAAAAATAAAGTGCATGATTTAGAAAAAAATAGAGATTTGATTGCATCCAGGACAAAGGTATAAGATAGTCAAGTCAATATGCACCACTCAAACTATGTACAAGTATTTTACACTTGAATTATTCACCACATGATGATCCCAGGAGCTTATTATTATGTACAACAGTAGATCCGCTGGTGCCAATGTACAAAACAATAGATCTGATTACCACAAATATTAAAAATAACTAAATAGGCTAAAAGATAAGATTCTCCATATGGCACAACTACCATTTCACATTGAGAGTGGCAAAGTACAGATATTACTCTGGAGTAATCTATATCATATTTAGATAAATTTTCAAGCTTGACTGGCACTCTAAGTAACATACCTATAAATAGAACAATGAGACAAATTTCGCAAGAAGATCAAAAAGGAATAAAATTGAAATTTATATTGTACTATTTGTACCGAAGTTCTAAAAGACTTAACACTGTAGCCCCAATTAATTGACGCAAGATAAGCAGTGGGTTACTTGTACTCTATAGCCCCAATTAATGGACACAAGATAAGCAGTGAGTTACTTGAACGCTATAGCCTCAATTAATGGACACATGATAAGCAGTGGGTTACTTGAACGCTATAGCCTCAATTAATGGACACATGATAAGCAGTGGGTTACTTTAACACTGCCTGATATAAATTGAAATGTGGAGCAAAATTAAACAGACACTTGAAATACTTTTGATATTTTACTTTAAGATCTAAGTTTGTCTCTCCATACCTTGTCCACATTATACCTAACAAGGTCACCCAGTGGTGCCCAGTACACTTATATTTCTAAAAATTGAAGTCACACTTTCTTTAAATTGTCACTTTAAAACGGGGAAAAAAAAAAAAAGTTGACAGGCCAAAAGGCTGGTCACGAGAGATGATCAGCTCAGCTTTCAGAACTTTGATTCAAATCATATTATCTGCTTCTCTATCATTTTTAGTTTTGCTTCGGTACAAGTCATATACCGGTACCTTTATTTTATAAACCACACAGCTCATAATTATCACACATCTAATGAATAGGACTCTACAGTGTATACATATTCACATGTTTTATATAAGCCACAAGATAAGTGTAGTTTGATTCTATGAAAAAAGTAACATTAAATATTTTGGTACAAATAACTGATACAACTTTTCCTCATGGATCATTTGTGTTATTCCCTAAACTAAAAATGATGTAAAGTACAATTAAACTTTAAACAACAAAATTTTGAGCATAAATAAAAGTCAAAGAGAATTGCAATGAACAAATGAATGTGACTTAACATTTTGAACAAGATGATGAACTACATTTAGAGTTTGCTGTTGAACAAAGGCACAAGAAGGAATTATAGATGTAGATTCATCTTGAGACATGCATAAACAAGTATACAGTTTTTCATTCAATGATTAATCAACAAAAATGTATTGCAAGTGTAGACTACATCTTAATGTACACATTCTATATGTGTACAACTGGAAAACCCAAGATGATTTAGGAAATTCCACAAAACTCAAAGGAAGAATCATAAACACTTTTCAACTGGCACATGGTGTGCTCAGTTATGTGGCCAAACCTGGCCATCTACTAGAAATGGCCACCAAAACATTCATTGCACTCAAACCTGGCCATCTACTAGAAATGGCCACCAAAACATTCATTGCAGTCATATTATTAAAGACAAATTTAAACTGACCATACATTCTTTAATATTAAAATCACATAGAATAATTGTGATTGCATTTCATTGTAAACCTTTGTTACAATAGTCAAAGTAAAACTTTCTTAAAATAAGTATATATTAAAATATTCACAATTTAATACACCCACCCCCCATTTTCAACAAAGTAATTTACAACCAATTTATTCCACAAAAACATTTCCAGGCACAGCCTAACTTATCTAACTATTCTAAAAAATATTTCTTGGATAAAATTTCTTTTTACAGAAATAACAAGTTTAAAACAATCAATGCTACCAATGAGTGCAAGGGAAACATGCCATAATCAATATACACATTTGACATCTGTAGGAAGAAGCTAAAGGAAAAATAGTCCCAACTATTTTAAGAACTAACATGTCCATTAATATAACTCTCAGAGTGTGCAGAAGTGTTTTTCTTCAACCTAATATAACTTCATGTGCACAGAAAGGTGTTCTTTAGTTCATGAATAATTGGAAACAAAACGCTGAGAAATAATTTCATCAGGTTGTCAGCCTGTACACTGAGAGGTAGTCAGCCTTTACACTGAGAGGTTGTCAGCCTATATATACACTGATAGGTTGTCAGCCTTTACACTGAGAGGTTGACAAATGGAATAGGATGAGTAGACTTCATCAAACTTGTGTCCATAGTCACTAGACTAACATCTCTTAAACAGCAGTTTGCCAAATGTGACAAGAGACTGACCCCTGAAGGAAAAGTCCATATTGCAGTGAGTCCTCAAAATGCAATCTAATTGTAAGTATATTCCAGGTCATAAGAGAGAGGGAAGAAATTGAATGACAACTGGACTCAAAATTGGTCCAAACTTACAAATTCCTGTGAGCTATTGACTAGCAGAGTGCAGGTTGCTGGTGAGAATATGGTCCATGGCCATTGGCGGTCCCATGGCTGAACCTGTGCTGGCTACCCGCGCTAGAACTGCTGTCCTTACTTCCCCCCCCCTCACTTGTTGGACTCATAATATCACTATTGCCGCTGACTATCCTCTTGTTGTTGGGCCACATCAAGATGGCGTCCCTTGGACCTCCGTTCCTCGAAGAGATCACATTTACGTTTTCACCCCCCTCGGCATTGACCTGCACGACCGGCTTGGCGAGCCAAGATGGAGGAAGTTGGGCTTCTGAAAACGACAGAGAAGCAGGGGGAGATGACAAAGCCGAGAAAGTGTTTTTATTGGTGGATGGCGGGGACATGACCGTGTATTCCTCAGCATCCGGTTTGTTGGAGAAGGACAGAGGTGCGGGGGTCAAAGTCCTCGGCCTGACGGTGTAAGACGACTCTGGTAAAAGCTTGAGTCTCTCTGACGATGATTTGGTGTCTTTTGGAGAGCGCATGTATCCAACATCCCTGTCAACAACACGGTCCTCACTCATCTCTTCATCGTCACAATCATTGTCTGAGTCACTCTGACCTCCGAAATTGGAAGAGTAATCCTGGTGGTGTTTGCTCGTGCTGGGTTCTTGGTGGTGCGGTGAATGAGAAGGTGGGGTACTGGGGCTGGGGGATATCCGTGCCGGGCTAGACTCTAGGTAGAGATTCTCTTCATCATCACTTGGTTCATCACCGTTGTGGGCCATGCTACTGGAGATGAAAAGGAAGCGTTAAATAAGATGACATGAAAGTCATAAGTTAAGAAGATGACATGAAAGAAAAGAGTTTAATAATAACATAACAATCCATGGAAAATAGAAACGTCTGACTAGAAAAAAATTGGTTGATTAATTTAAAAACTTTCTAAACGTTAAAAAGGACAGATAACCTGAGTCCCCTGCTCGCCCTGTAGTTATCTCCTCCACCGCTACCATCGTCCAGTGGCCGGGTTATTCTCAGAGTGTCTCCATTGAAACTTTCATCAGCCTTGGCCAGGTAACTGTCATCATCATTGTGCTGCGGTGGGCCATCTGCCTCCATAAAAACATTGCCTTCGGCTTCCAACCCGTCATGGAAAATCTCCCTAAAGAAAAAGGAAACATTCTGGAAGTTTTCACTCAGACTCGGGGCCAGCTGTTCAATCAAGAACTTGAAGGTGGGCCGTCTCTTGGGGAAAAATGCCCAGCAACTTTTCATCATGGCATACCTGGTGGCAAAAAAAAACATGGTGGTCACTGGCAGACAAAACATGGTGGTCAGTGGCAGACAAAACATGGTGGTCAGTGGCAGACAAAACATGGTGGTCACTGGCAGACAAAACATGGTGGCCAGTGGCAGAAAAAACATGTAGGTCACTGGCAGACAAAACATGGTGGTCACTGGCAGACAAAACATAGTGGTAGAGGCCGACCCAATTTCGGTTTCGGCACCGAAAGTGGCCATTTTATCACTTTCGGCCAAGTTTCGGTTTCGGCCGAAACTGAAAAGTTAACTTTCGGCTTAATTTCGGTTTCGGCCGAAAGAGAAAAGTTAACTTTCGGGTTTTCTTCGGTTTCGGCCGAAATTGACTTAGACTTTCGGCCTTCTGGCCGAAAGTGACTCAGGTTTTCGATCATTTAATACTCAGCGAAAGCTATATTTAACAAAAAAATAAGCGACATTTAAGAACAAATTAAGCGATCTTTGAGAACAAACTAAATGATATTTATGAACAAACTAAACGATATTTAAAACAAACTAAGCGATCTATAAGAACTATCTAAGCGATCTTTAATAACAAACTAAACGATCTTAAAGAACAAACTAAACGATTTTTAAGACCGAACTAAATGATCTTTAAGATCAAAACAAATGATCTTTAATAGGAAACTAAATGATTTATAAGAATAAACTAAGCGATCTTTAACAGAAAACTAAATGTTCTTTAGGAACAAACTAAAAGATCTTTAAGAACAAACTAATCGATCTTAAGGAACAAAATCAATTATCTTTAAGAACAAACTAAGCGATCTTTGTGAAAAA